AGGACTGATCTATGCATTTTCCATCCTAACACAGTAGTCCTGCGGATGGATCCATCATTTCTACCGAAGGTGAATTCTAATTTTCACCGGGTCCAAGAAATAGTGTTGCCTGATTTTTGTCCAGCACCCAAATATCCGTTAGAAGTTGAGTGGCACACATTAGATGTCAGGAGGGCTCTCTGTAGGTACATTGCAAGGACTGCCTCCTTTAGGAAAACTGAGGCGCTTTTGGTATCTTTTCACCCGTCTTCCATGGGGAAGAAGGTTTCATCCACAACTATAGCTTGCTGGATTAAGGCATGCATTTCATTAGTTTACAGCAGCAAGGACAAGCCTCTACCAGGGAGGGTGTTAGCCCACTCTACACGAAGTGCGGCTACGTCTGCGGCCTGGGCCACTCAGGCTTCAATAGGGGACATTTGTAGAGCAGCTACATGGACGTCGTTAACACCGTTTGTGAAACATTATAAGTTAGACAGCTATGCCTCGGCTGAGGCATTATTTGGGCATAGGGTGTTACAGAGTGTCCACTCAGCTAGGTCCCTGGGGCCCAGTCAGCCTCCCTCCCACTAAGTTTGAGCTTGGGTATATCCCACGCTTGAATTGCCTAAGCATCACAATGGAAAATGGACGTTGGCTTACCTGAACGTCCCTTTCGTTGTGATGCGTGGCAATTCAACCAGCCCGTCAGGCTGCCTGGTTTGTTCTGGCCCGGAGAGGGTGTTTCTGTTTGCTTCGTAGGACACGTTGGTGGACGACGCCTTCGCGAAACAACTGAAGCTCAGCAAAGCAAAGGAGGCGTGGTCACAACAGATTTAAAGAAATACTACACTCAGTCCCTAGCAAGCAGATGAGAGAAAACCCACGCTTGAATTGCCATGCATCACAATGAAAAGGGATGTTCAGGTAAGCCAACATCCATTTTAATTTAATGTTCAGATTAATGGTTTGACACAAAAACCACTCACCCAGACAGATAGTAAAGGCTTCCCTTTACTGAATGTGTACAAACACAAATTAGACAGCAATCTTTCTTGGCCGATATACAGTAGTGGCCAAAATTGTGGAAACCTTTTGGGAAAAGTGTATTTTCTAAAACTAGCTAATAACACCACTTTTTTTTAGTAGTAGCCTAAAATTATATATCAATAGAAAGATAATTTAATCAAGAATGTAATGCAATAACTTTTATGAAGGATTTGCTATTAGAATAGCAGTTACAGTATAAAGAAGAAAAGTGAAACACGTAGAAAAAACAAGATATACAAAAATCGCCATAGAAAAAATAAGATATACAAAAATTATCACATCAACTAAGTTAATACTTAGTTGGGTAATTTTTAGCATGAATTATGGCCTTACAATGTCTTCCCATGGAGTGAACGAAGTCTTTTAATTCTGCAGCTGTTATAATGTGAAACCAAGATTGAATGATTGCTTCTATTAACTGGGTTTTATTGCTGGGTTGCTTCTGACTAACAAGTTTCTTTAGTGGGCTCCATAGATTTTCAATTGGGTTAAGGTCTGGGCTATTCCCAGGCCATTCCAGCAATGGAATATGATTATCTTGAAACTCCTAAAAAAAATGGTGTTATTAGTCATCAAACCTCAAAAATACACTTTTCCCAAAAGGTTTCCACAATTTTGGCCACTACTCTAATTGGAGTTCTACAGAGCAGGGGGTTGTATGCCCCTCCTTCCAGTTCTGGAACCCCATGGAAATGTCTGAAAAAAAAATGACAAAGAATTCTGGATTGTTGCAAAGAACAACTATTCTGTGAAACCAGGAGTTGAACTTACAATGCTTCTGAGAGTTCTTGAGCAGTGTCATCGTCATCATCTTCATCTTCATTAGAGGTTCTTTAAAACTCAAGTGTTTATTCAACAGATTTATATGGCTACCCATCTCATTGAACCACTCTGGGTGGTGTAATGTGCGATTTACAATTAAAACAATGCCCACTTCCAACCCACAGAGCTCGTCCAAAAGGATGCCATTGGTGATACTATCGAAGGCTGCTGAAAGGTCGAGACGAAAGACCGATGTATTATCCCTGTTTTGCTCCTGCTAGGGATCACCCAAAAGCGCAACCAATGCAGTTTCTGCCCCTTTCCCAGGCTTGAATCCTAACCGAAATGGCTTCAAATCAGTGGTGGGATTCAGCCGGTTGTCTCCAGATTGCATGAACTGGTACTGGCGACTGCCGGAGGCTTTGCCCATCTGCCCAGACATAATGCGCAGTTACTGCGCATGTGCAGAAGGCCATGCTCATGCGCAGAGGAGGCGTGTACGCTCACATTTGCGAACTGGTAGGGAAGGTAAGTGAATCCCACCTCTGGTTCAAATAATCCTCTTCACCCAGAATCTGCTGAAGCTGCTGTGTAACTACTTTTGCCATGACCTTTCCTAAGAAAAGGAGATTAGATACTGGATGAAAATTATCCAATGTGGTATCCAGCAATGGCTTCTTGAGGAGGGGGCAAACCAAAGCCGCCTTAAGGGGTGCAGGAACAACCATGAATTAATCATTGTTATAACTCCACTGCAGATGGGGACTGCAGCCAAGAAATTATTGCTTAACGCATTGTAAGCCGCCCTGAGTCTCCGGAGAAGGGCGGCATATAAATCAAATTAAAAAAAAAAAAAAGACACTTGACAGCATACTAAAAAGCAGAGACATCACCCTGCCAACAAAAGTGTGTATAGTCACGGCTATGGTTTTCCCAGTTGCAATGTATGGCTGTGAAAGTTGGACCATAAGAAAGGCTGAGCGCCAAAGAATTGAGTCCTTTGAACTATGGTGCTGGAGAAGACTCCTGAGAGTCCCTTGGACTGCAAGGCAATCAAACCGGTCAGTCCTAGAGGAGATCAACCCTGACTGCTCTTTATAAGGCCAGATCCTGAAGATGAAACTCAAATATTTTGGTCACCTAATGAGAAGGAAGAACTCACTGGAGAAGAGCCTAATGGTGGGAAAGATTGAGAGCAAAAGAAGAAGGGGATGACAGAGAATGAGGTGCTGGATGGAATCACTGAAGTAGTAGGTGTGAAATTAAGTGGACTCCAGAGGATGGTAGAGGGCAGGAAAGCCTGGAGGAATGTTGTCCATGAGGTCACGATGGGTCAGACACGACTTCACAACTAACAACAACAACAAATAACCCAACCATATAACATGACATATTTCTTCCATACAAATGAGAGCCAATAGATTAGGGAATTGGAAAAGACCTAAGTACATTTCACATTCATTTTGTGATGATAAGGGAGGGGACAAATTGCAAAATCTGCTCACTGGCTACATTTAGAGGTCATTGAAGTACCCCATCGGTATCCAAGTCAAAAATTGAACTTGGGGCAGAGTGTTTTCCAGAAAGGATTAACTAACGAGAGTAAATGGCTAATCGCTGCATGCTGCAAAATAAAATGTGCTGTGAATTTTATTGTACTAAATAAAATGTTCAAGGATAGTTTATTACTGCAGGAGAAACCTTGGCCTATCTAGAAACATTCTCCAAGAATATCTGTACTCTACTCTGTTCAATAATAAAATGCTTTTGAGATAAGTTTAGTTCATAAAAATTTATGAAAGATAAGAGAGGCAAGTCATAGAAATACTGGAAATGCATATATATAAATTATGGTGCTTCTTCCCCACTTCCAAATTCTTTCACGACTTTGAAGATTCTGCATTCAGAGAACAATCACCCGGAATATTTTCCAGCAGAGAAAGTTGAATATTATTTCTTTTTTTTAAATCGTTGATTTATTAAATGCGTTATTAAAGTCCAGTGGAAACAAAACACTCTATGATATAACCAATGAGAGAATTTGTGCTACTGTCCTGATGTTGTAAGACTCCCATTCTCATTGAACTTTCCCAGTCTGGCCAATGACTAGGTATAATAGAAATTGTAGTGCAGCAATATTGTATTCCCCACCCCTGCTTGCAGGTGCTGTGAGTTGCACCTTGCTGTGTGGTCATGGACCAATCGCCTTGTAGCTTGATCTTTCGAGTGAGCTTGGATTCTGCCCCTGAAGCTTCGAAAATATGAATACAGTGCAAAACCCCAGGTTATTTACTTAGTTTCTGTCTGACACACACACCCAAACCCACACACTCGGAGCCTGGTCTCTTTGCTGCTTCTCAGAAATCCCTTGATGCTCTTTGAACCCAACTAGTGATCTATTGAAGCCAAATCAATTATTATTATTATTAATTATTGTTATCAAATTTAGTTGCCTCCCATCTCATAGTTTGAAGCAACTTGATTACCTGCAACGTCTCCTTCCAAGACCAATCTTACAAGTGTGTGTGTGTGGAGGGGGGGGCAGCATGTCAGCCTAACCCAGAGGGCATCACTTCAGGGGGATCAAGAAACTTGCGAATGATGCTCAGGAAGTTTCTTCCTTTGCACGCCTGCGTTAATCATAAATCCAGCTATCTCTTTAGTAACGCCCACTTGGAGCTTAGCTTTTATGCTTCTTATTTTGTGAGGCTTCATCAGGGGAAGCTTGCTGATTTAGTATCTCTCAGCCGCCACTTGTGCCCTTCCTCCAATCGTGTGTGGAGAATCCAAATGCAAAGAGGGACGAAGGGGGAGAGAGGGAAATGGGAATCTGGATGCTTCGGTTGGCAGTGCCCACTCCTTGTCTCGGGAGCACCTTTCCTCCACCGCTGAATTCCTTTACAAATCAACAGCTGCCACACTCTCCATACACCCTCCCCTCCTCACTTGTAATTTGACCCTCCCAGAGCCCTACAGTTATTTTTAACTTTACATTGACCGCATAATTTTCATTATTGTTAAATCATGCCGGCCTGGGGACAAGAGGCACAGACTTGTCCATGATTTCTGCATCTCCTGAAGCAGATGGCACCCTCCCACTTCTTTCCTCCTCTTCAGTTCAGGTGGCAATTGCTCTTCTTCAGCTTTCCTAAACAGCACCTGGCTCCAAGGGCGCTGAGGCCTCTCTGCTGAGGAAGGTAAGAGGGTTTTTTTGGCTGGGTCTCTCCAGGGTCTTACTTGCTTTGCCAGCTGAAGAGCCTAGAACCTTCCTTTTCTCCTGGAATTCCCCAAGCGTGCAATCATGAGGCAACTTTACTCCAAAGCACAGCAGTCCATCTTCTGCTTTGCTTCCAAAGCAGCTTCAAAAGGTGGGAGTGATAAGTGAAAGACATTGGAGGAAATCAAGTCAAAAGGAGAAAGATTATGACCAAAGATGGGAGAGAAGGTGGGGGCACATTTGGAGCATGCGGAATGTCCCCTCACATCTTGAGCCCTTGCAAGCACATGCTCAAGATGGGCCACTGGAAAATCAGCTGGAGGGGATAATGAAGATTAAATGGACCAGTGAGCTATTGAAAGGAGCCAGCTTTTTCTCCTCAAAAGAGTCAATGATTTGTGGGATGCTGTATGGAGAAGTGTAATCCAAGCACACATTTCTTCTATAAAGCCCTAAAAAAAATAAGTGAGCATATCTTGTCTTTAGTAAGGCACTCAGTACATTCAGATTTTGTGTGGCTACAGCATCTAGGGAGTAGACTTAGGGTTAGGAACTACAGTTATTCCTCAATTTACGACCACAATTGAGCCCAAAATTTATGTTGGTAAGTCAGATAGTTAAGTGAATTTTGCTGCATTTTACAACCTTTCTTGCCACAGACGTTAAGTGAACCACTGCAGCTGTTAAATTAGTAATGCGGTTGTTAAGTAAATCTGGCTTCCCTATTGACTTTGCTCATTGGAAGGTTGCAAAAAGCGATCACATATCCCTCGGACACTGCAACTGTCATGAGTCAGTTGCCAAGCATCTGAATTTTGATCACATGACATGAGGATGTTGCAATGGTCATAAGTGTGAAAAATGGTCATAAGTCACTTTATTCAGTGCTGTTGTAACTGAAAGGTCACTAAATGAACTGTTGTGAGTCGAAGAGTACCTGTAAGTGACTTCCATTTGAGACTATTCAGACTGAAGTTTTAAGGGCAATTTGGGGAAGTAAATTCTGAACTCAACCCATAGACATACCTAAGAAATATCGGATTGTTGGGAGCCGGGGGGTGGGGGGGAAGGATATTTAACTTGGGGCTATTTCCTCCCATAATGCCTGGCCTTGGCCCCTTATTAGTGGTAGAGCTTTTTCATGAATCCGGGAAACTAAAGGTAGGCTGAAGAATATTGCAGAACAGACTTTTTTATCCAGGTGGTGGTGGTGGTGAGAATATAACCCACCCCTCCATGGAGACAGTGGAACAGAGGCGTGTTGATATGGCTACACAGGAAGATCAAGGCCGGGGGAGGCGAGGGAAACATCTGCAAGCTAATCCCGGTATTTGAGCTAGCCAAGGCCTTGGCCAGGACTTAAGGTCCAGAGATCAATGAATATGCTGGATGCACACAATGAAAAGAGGAACTTGGTTTATGGATATCTTGCATGCAACAGGCTGGTAAGAGGATTGTATGGAGTAAATGAAGAGCGCTTGGTGGTGTGTGTTTTTAGTTATTTATACATTTGTATCTCAGGTAGCAAGAAGAGAAGTAGAAAGGTAAGTGCTTGGTGTCTTATCTTCAAATCCGAACATGAAATTAAACTGTCTAGGAATTTTGAAAAGCTTGGAGGTTATGAAACATATTTTCCTTCGGCTCTCACATTTTCTTTGGTCTTGCTTTTCTACATAGGTTGTGACTAGTAAAAATCTACAAGTGCAAATGATGTGTGGCAGTTATCAACCAGCCAATTGTCGATGGAGATGGTGCTTATTGTTTGTCCTTTGGACTTGCTCTGGAACAGGTAAAAATGTGGTTGCTAAAATTCAGCTGTCCCTATTTTTAATCCACAATGAATGATTTGTTAGGGCTGATGCACTCTGTCCAAAAGGTAGAGGTGGGGAGTGTAATATCCCATGTATTTACCAATGTAGTATGGCTGTAGTATTATTTATCCTTCTTTTTATCCTCTTTACTCTCATCTCTTATCAATATTATTATGATGATTATCATTATTCTGTTACTTTGCATGTACAATGAGAGCTTCTGGACAGGAGACAAATTCCTTGTGTGTCTGATCACACTTGGCCAAAATATTTAATTCAATGCAATTCTTCTTTTCCCAATCATGTCTATCATGGGATTTTTGTTTCACTTGCATCCCTGAGCAGCTTGCAACGTCAAACCATTTCTGACCACAACTATGAAAAACTAAATGGGTTGTGTAGTAGCAGCTAGGCATGCAGGAGGCATAAAACCTTTCAAACTCTTAAGTACAGAACACTGAAGTATTTGTATGTGTGTATGCATAATCAAAATATTGCATATTTGTTTGCCATAATTTCTTCAACAAGGTATATATGGAGTTATTCTCAAAATTTCAGCCGGTACAATTTAAGTTATGGTAACAATAGTGCAAACTGAAATTGGAAGGCTGTGGTTATGCTGCAAAACACTTATTCAAGGTTCATGTTCAATCTAGAGCCAAAAATAGCTGAGGGAGTTCTTTTTCCCAAGTATTCTCTTCCAACTCTTTAGATAGGGTTGAAAGAGATATTGGGACATCAAGTGTCTAAAGGCAGAAATCCAGATTATCCCCAACAAATGGCTGCCTGGTTTCTGCTTAAACACACCAACTGGACAGAGCCTACCATCTCTTTGGGTAAAGGGTTCCACTTTTGAACTGCTTTCATTGTTAAGTATCCACCTCCTTGGAATTTATATTAATTACTTCATGTTCTGCCACTGGAGCATTCCAGATTATCTCTGGGTCTTATTCTTCTGTCCCTGAAGATGATTGCCAAATGCCCTCTTAGTCTCTTCTTCTTAAAGCTAACCATTCTCAGAGCATTCAAGGATTCTTTATGGGACCTCATTTCCAATTCAGTGACCATGGCTTTATTCTGAACCTATATTCATTTTTCTAAATCCTTCTTAAAGCCTTATGCTCAGAACCAAACACAATACTAAAGATGAGATCTGATCAATGAAGAATGATGTGGAGTCGTTACTCCCATGATTTGTACTTTTCATACAGTTGCAGCCTAAAAGTTAGTTTCTGTTTTTGGAAGCCATTGACTCAAATTCAGTTTGCAATCGACTGTTCATCCCTCTTTACAAGCACTATATACCAAATCAGATATCTCTCATCCTATGCTTGTGCATTCGATGTCTGTTTAATAAATGAAGAACTTGCCTTTGTCCCTGCTAAATTTAATTCCATTATTTCAGTCAATTTCTCTAACCTATCAAGATGATTTTGAATTTTTATTTATTTATTTGTTATTTTTGTCTTCTGAAGTGTTGTCTATCCCATCCAATTTTGCATGATCTGAAAATTTAATTGAAATTTCTTCTACCAAAGTATTGATAAAATATGAAAGATACAAGGCCCAGAACTTATTTAGAACCTCTCCAATTTGATGAAGAATCATTGACGAGCATTTGGAGTATGATTTTTGAGCTAGCTTTGCTGAAATCATGATATATTGTAACAGCATGATTCTCACAATCTATTAAGAAAACTACCCGATTAAAAAAACAAACCTATACAAGATTTATATAAGAGACTCTTTAAAAAGTGAGATAGTTTGTTAAGACTTTTTGACATATTCATACTGGTTTCTGCTAATTATTGTATTTAGGAGCCCATGTCAGGTTAATTACCGTATTTTCTTTTCAGAGGAACAGTATTTGATCTTCTCCAATCATTCGGCTCTTCATCAATGCTACAATGCTACAAGATTTCTCAAAAACAATACAAAAAAAATGTGCCCAGATTGTCACCAAATTCTTTCAGTACCCTAAGATGTAATTTATCTAGTCCTGTAATGGAACTGCATTCAAAGTAGGCCATTATTCCCTGAGCATGTTTGTAGCATTTTCAAGCTTCACAATTCAGCAGTGCCACAATTGCCTAACATTCACCCTCTTGTGTGGGGAAAAAAAAACTTAAAACGAAAATGCACATTTCTGCTTTTTCTTAGTTACTAACCTTTTGTCATTTTGCAATTGGTAATTGGCGATTTTTTGGTTGAATGTTTTATTTCGAATGAATTTAAAGGAGCCTTATTGTTCGTAGCAACCTCTGCCAATTTCAACTCAGCTAGGGATTTTTGTCACCATTTTTAACCTTCCTGGCTACTTGTGAAGTGACACAACTGTATTGACAAGTACTGACTGCATTTTTTTATAGTGACATTTTCTACCTTCTTTTTATCATTATTGTCACTGCTGTTTTCACTTTTTTCCTTTTCTGTACAGAAACATTGTTCTCTTTGGAATGCTTTGCAACTGTGTTTCACTAATATCCAGCTTTAATTAGTATATAAATCTAACAAATAAAATGGAAATCTAAAATCAAGAATTCAAGACTTTGTTAGTATTGTTCTTTAAAGTTCCTCTTACTTCCATTTCCTCAGTTACATCTTCTCTACTGATTAATTTCAAATTAATAAGAAGTTCCACTACTTTAATTTGAACTTAATCAATAGAGATGATTAAAGTAATGATTCTTCTTGTTCTCCTCTTCCTGATAGAGAAACATCAGAGACAAATGTTAGGGACTTCCTGAAAATAATTGACAGATTTTTGTCTCCTACAATTTTGTTAGGGTAATTGAAGTCTTCTACCACAATACCTCATGCCTCTTTGATAGATTTGGAGTTTGCTTTTAATAAGCAACATCCATCTTTTCTTTTTATCTGTGCAGGTGAAAGTGGGCTCCAATGGTAGTACTGCATGCATTAATTCCTCTGCTTATTTTAACCTGGATGCGCTCTACAATATCCCTGAGTTCACTCTTTTGGATTTCTTGGGAGGTATGGATACTTTTAGCAACCAGCCCAATGCTTCCTCCCGTTCTACTGTTTAGATTCCTTTTAAAGGAATGATGTTTTCTCCTCAGCTGAAGTGTGGCTACTCATTGTTCTAATCCTTTGACTTGTTCTTCAAACTTTCCTATAATAGATTACTGAAAATATATCTCAGGCTGTTTTCAAGCAAAAACAGACACATAACACATTACAGATGCAGGTACTCATCTGGTAATTTTCACTTTGTTTTTTTAAGCTAATGCCAGTGGAAGGCCTCTGCATCTCCTTCTCCTTCTCCTGTTCTCAGATTAGCCAAGTACGGACTGTCGATTTAAAGGGGAAAAGTTCTAGGGACCCTTCCTTAAATGCCATTCTTTGCTCAGTGATAGGAATGTCCTTTTCCAGTATTTTTTTTTTTAAAAAGGCAATTTTGTTGGTCTTTTAATATCTTAATGCTTATTTTATTAAATATTAAATTTACTAATTTAATTTAAATTGCAGCATAATTATTACCTTTCTGCTGTTTTACTGCTTTTAAGTTAGGTATTTTGAATTCTGTTCTAACTCATGATTTTAGCATTTGCAAGCTGCGCTAGAAACTTCGTTCTGAAGGGTAGCATATCCATTTTAAAAATAAATATATACAGAAGGTATCTTTTCCACTTGCCCTCCCCCAAAATATGAAATAGCACAACTAAATGACCGCATTGTGCTGGTTTAATAATTTTCTGTTTTTCTAACACAAGTTTTCAACATGTCTGGGTGGGCTTGGGATCAGGGCCGGATTTTCCTATAGGCTAACTAGGCTTTAGCCTAGGGCCTCAAGATCAAGAGGGGCCTACATTCAAATTGTTAGCAAAATTAAAATTAAACTTTCACTATAGGTGAAAGGGCCTCATAAATGGAATAGCCTAGGGCCTCTTTTCATCTAAATCCAGCCCTGCTTGGGATGCTGTATCTAAGGCTCTGGGAAGTAATGCAGCTGAAGGGCCTTACATTACATTTCTTGCTGGAGGATGTCCTACAACATTGCCATGAATTACCACTGACTCCAGCAAGGGAACACAATTGAAGGCTTCAAGTGTAATTGTTGAAGAGAAACTGGGCTCCTAGAAGTCATGGGCTTCCCCAGGGAGCTTCTTTAATGTGCTTTCCTCCAGGCAATGAGGTTGGGCAAAATTGTGAAGCCAGCAAGTGGGGCACTTTTTATAGTATCAAACGTGGGACAAGCTGAAGAAAGTGAAGAATGGATTCTATACTTTGCCCTTAAGCCATGCTTAAACCATCTCCCAGAAACCAATATGATCTTTTGCTTTTCTGGGGAGCAGAGTCTCTATTAACCTAGAGATTGCCATCGAAGTTGCAGAGGTGTAGTAGAGCAGCGGGAGAGGTATTTCAAGAGAGGCTGGCCATCTGTCAAGCGTCTGCAGCTGTGGATTATTTTCAAGGTCCCTTTCAAACCTGGCATGGTCTGATTCCTGCCTTAGTGAAAAACTCCCTCCCACTCAACCACAATATTCTCTGCCTCTCTCTGACCATTTCTTTGCCTTTCTAAAAACACCTGTTGGGGCACTGACAATAAGGGGGCTGGAAGGTAAAATTCCCACTTCTCCTGCCAGCCAGCCCTCACATTTGTCACTTGTCCTCTCCACCACTCATTACCGGAATAGCCATCAAAAGCTGGTGTCACTTTGCAAAAGGGAGCAGCAGGCACTGGACAATTTGTGTTACACCAGATTTGAACGTGGAATTATTAGTAATAGTGATTCTTCTGATGGAATAATGACAGAGAAGGAGAGTAAGATTTATTACAGCTGCTCATTTCAAAAGACACTTGGTGGATCACATCAAAATATATAATTGAAATAGATAATAATTAAATAATAATAATTAAGCCAGAATAGTTTAAAAAACCAGAGATTTCACTGACACCCTAATCAGGTCTGGTCTTAAGAAGCCCAGGTGAGTGCCATATATATCTTGGGGTGGGGTATGCTATTGCAGTGGGCTGCGCCAGCAATAGAGAAACGCCATAAGATGGCAACATTTGAGTGAGGGGGCCCAGATTACAGCCACTTTGCCCAAATGCAACCAGCTGGCAGAACAATTGCAGAAGTAAGGCTTTACTGTATTTTGTGAAGGGAGTTCCCTTTGTTGGCTTTTTGTAAGCAAAAGATAGATGTGGATGTAGCAGATTAAAGTGGCCAATAGATGCTGGGTAGCTTCCAGTCTCTAACTGGGTCATCACTGCAATCATGCTAAAGCTGCAAGAAATCATGCACAGAGGAAGGCATATCTTGGGAATTTTCCATCAGTGTCACAGATACTAAACTAAGTGGTCCCGGACATGAGCTGGGGATAATCCAAAGGCTGCCTCATGAAAACCCACCCTTGGATGATGGTCCGCAAGAACTTCAGAGAGAGGGACTGATGGAGGAGGCCGTGATCTAAATGGCAGCAATCATGTTTTTCCAGAACTGTATATATATACTGAAAACATATAGTATAAATGGTATAAACCTGTTGAAAGTTTGTCCGGTGTTGGGTTTCAAGGTCCTTCTAATGATGCCAGCCACAGTTGCTGGGGAAACATCAGGAAATCTGTCTAGACCACAGTCACTAAGCCCTGAAGCCCAACACTGCCCAACAGATGCTGGCTGTGAAAGTCTAAACAAATGTGCTGAAAGTTTTGCATGATTATATACTCAGGCCCAGGAAAAGACACAGCTTCTTTAAGGAGCCACAAAGGGGTGCAATGCAATACTAGTTCCAAAATATTTCAGTTTCCATTCTGAAGTGCTGCACACTCCTACGTCATCCAGACATCACTCCAGGAATTTCAAACCTTACTCACTGCTCTATTGGTACAGCAACAATAAATTATATGTGTTCTTTCCATTTGGCTAAATCATAAATGATTAAGTCTGCTTCCAAATTGTTAGCAGGCAAATATATATATATATATATAACATTTTGTTTAAATTCTCTTTCTCTCCAAGAAAAAGTTTGGATTAAAAAAAAGTATACAAAACATAATCATACATAATCATAGAAGGCAAAATAAGGGAGGTGTTTGAGAGAAAATCAGAGGCATTCCCACCCTAAATATACCTGATGAGGACAGAGCACACTCAGGATCTATTAGGAAAAAGAAGCAGAGAAAAGGGATATACCAGTTTGCTTAGTGCAGAGGAGAGCAACCAGGATGATTAGGGGACTGGAGACTAAAACATATGAAGAACGGTTACAGGAACTGGTCCTGACTAGTCTAGTGAAGAGAAGGACCAGGGGAAATATGATAGCAGTGTTCCAATACTTGAGGGGCTGCCACAGAGAGGAAGGGGTCAAGCTGTTCTCCAAAGCACCTGAGGGCCAGACAAGGAATAATGGATGGAAACTGAACAAGGAGAGATTCAACCTGGAAATGAGGAGGAACTTTCTGATAATCAACCAATGGAACAGCTTGCCTTTGGAAGTTGTGGGAGCTTCATCACTTGAGACTTTCAAGAAAAGATTGGACTGCCATTTGTCAGAAATGGTGTAGGGTCTCCTGCTTGAGCGGCGGGGCGTTGGACTAGATGACCTATAAAGTCCCTTCCAACCAGCAGTGGGTTCTAAAATTTTTACTACCGGTTCTGTGGGCGTGGCTTATTTTGTGGGCGTGGCTTGGTGGTGGGGGGTAATGTGACGGTGGGCGTGGCCAACTTTTTTTTCTTTTAAAAGCATTTTTTTCTACAACCTTAAGAAGAGGTTGTAGAAAAAATGCTTTTAAAAGCCTCTGACGATCCCAGCTGAGCCGCACGATCATCAGAGGCTTTTTTTTTACTTTTAAAAGCATTTTTTCAGCCAGAGGTTGTAGAAAAAATGCTTTTAAAAGTAAAAAAAAAAAAGCCTCTGATGAGGTGGGCGGGGTAAGTGAGTGGCGACCAGGCCGAGGACCAGTTTGGGGGTGTGGCCAGCCAATGTTATTACCGGTTCTCCGAACTACTACAAATTTTTACTACCGGTTCTTGCGAACTGGTGCGAACCAGGAGCAACCCACCACTGCTTCCAACTCCGTTAATCTGCTTGAAGCCCTTCAGCATATATCTGATCTGGGTATAATTAACTGAATTGTTGGAGCTGGATATAATTAACAGCACCCCCCTGAAGAGTGTGGGGGGATAATCCAGATACACTTGCATGATCTAGTAGCTGAATCCTCAGAGAGCAGCAGCACTTGAACAATTGAGAGAGATCTCATGAGCCCTGCCCCCGATGACCCTTTCTCCCCAGCGTTTGCTCCACTCCTTGCTTTTCTTGCCCTCTGTCCTCATTCATTGTCAGATGTTTCATATTCTTCACATGGGAGCATGGAGTAGATGTCATAAAGAAGTAAACAATTTCTAAATTCAACCTCCTGACTGCTTTGGCATAGATTCAGTATTTGGGAATGAGGAGAAATAGAGTGAAGACAGGTTTGGCACCAGTGGTACAATCTCTGTTTTGCTCTGCAGTTGCCTGGCATCATCTCACTTGTCTGCCTGAGTCTTCCTCCACCTCCCATTCTATCCTGGGCTTTCGGGAGGTCTTGCGAAAAGGCAAAGGATGCACCAGCCGGGGACTCTCCTCCACGGGTCAAGAAGTGCACGTCATCAGCCTGCGCAAGGGAAGGCCTGCCAACGCTCAGGTACAGGGCAATTGGGTTGAGGGGGCAGCCCTGACTAATGCTCTGAGTGGTCTGGCTGCCTCTGACACAGCCCACTCCTTGAAACTGGCTTGGATTGGGAGGAGTGTGATTCCCACAAAATCTTCTGTCATGGAATCTGATAAGAACTCAGGTAAGCCCTACATGTTAGGGGGCCAGGTGACCTGAGGAATTGCCATCACATCAGCCTGTCCCATCTGGTCATGCAGGGAAGCTATGCTGTGGACCCCTCTGTTAAAGAATTTCAATTGGTGGGGTCAAGGAAGAGGGCCCTCTGTGCTGTTGCCCCTGCCCTCGGAACACCCTCCCCTCCCCTCCCCTCCCCTCCCCAGAGGAGAAGCAGCCCCCTCTTCTGGCCTTTCAAAAGAGTCTGCCAACTTGCATGGGATTTGCGGAGCAGCATACAACTCTAGGACTGGTTGGTGCCTTAAGGCCCTCACCCGTCTTTTAACTTTTAACTGATTTTAATTATGTTTCCACTTGGCTCCTTTTACCGATGTATTGCATTTTTATATGGTTTTTATACTCTTGTGCTTTTAAACTGCACACCTCCCAGAGTCACTCCAAGAATGAGATAGGCGGTACCTAAAATTCGATAAACAGACAAATCAATCTCTAGGAACTGAATTCCAACTTAAAATAGAAAGCTCAATAAATGCCCAATTACAGTCCTGCAAGTCTGGAAAATGAATTATTCTTCTCCCCACATGAAGTGGTAATTTATGCAGTAAAACTTTTGAAGGGCGACCCTAATAGATAAAATGATTTGGTAGCTTATACATTATTTGCTTACAATGCTATGAAGAAATTAAAAAAAGAAGACCTCATCAAATATAGATCAGCTTTGAAATTTGTTTGCTTATTTGGTTAAATAATTTATGTGCCCCCCCCCCCATATTTCACAGCTGTGATTCTGGGCAGCATACCAAGATTAAAATAATCATAACAGTATCAACTAATTGTGCTCTGGTTAAACAGTAACTGCCGAAAGAAAAGAACATTGCCACAAAACTCGCCTAATTGCCAGGGCCAAATATCTGGAGGAAAAGCCAAGTCTGTAGAGCCTTACAAAAACCTATCAGGATAAGGGCTTCTGGCCAGATACTGTTCCACAAGGCAAGCTATTAATGTAATCTTAATCACATTTGTCATACTTCAGATATTCTCAAGAATTCTAGGCTGCCTCTGTAGATCTTGCTTCATTTCTGCCAAAATTCAAGATAAAAATTTAAGTTCATCAGATGAACGTATTCAAAGAACCATTTTACAAAGATACATAGACAGAACATAATCTAAAATGAAGATCTGTGCCGAAGAGATTTTATCTGTTTGACCCCGTTTCAGGTAACTCTTATGTTGGCTCCAAATCTTCTGAGCAGGGCCCCCATCTTTGTATTGCATTCCCAGCAGCCAGTGCAATGGATGTTGTCAACTTCTCCTGGGAAAAATTGGACCTTCCAGGTGAGAACAGAATTTGGACTGAACATTCTACAGGACAAAGGTGGAGAATATTACATTTGGAACCTCTGAAGAGGAGGTGACTTTACTCTGAGCAAATAAAGATGACGAACAAAATCTTAGCATAAAGGATAGATTGGTTGCAAATCAATTTTTAATAGTGTTTTAAATCATATAAAATCCACGATCATCTATATTTGTCTGAGCCAGGGGTGAAATCCACTTACCTTCTCTATTGGTTCACAAATGTGACAGTGCGCACCTCCACGTATGCACAGAGGGTCAAAAACAGGACGTGATGACGTCTGGGCGGGTGGACAGAGCTTCCCACTGCCGGCGCTACCGGTTTGCCCGAGCCAGATAGAACCGGTTGCATTTCACCACTGGTTTGAGCTCAGGATCATCTTGTACAATAACTTATTATTGTTCCACCATATAGATGGGAGAATTGAGTTAGTGAGGTTTCAATAGGACTTTCAGATGTGGCAAAAGGAGGACCTGTCCTCCTATCTTCCATCTGGCAGGCAGGCATAGCTTTAAATTCAAATATTATTCAGCTTTTTGAATATCTACAACAAGCATGTCCAACAGTGGTGGGTTCCAACCGATGTTACCATCAGTTCTCTTTGTGCACGTGCTTTGCGCGTAATTGCCGTGCGCATGCTCGCTTTGCTTGCATGTGCGCCGAAGTGCATTAGATTTCTGCCCAGCTGAGGCGCAGCAATCCACTCTGCCACGCCTATCAGCTGGGCTAAAAAACGACAAATAAAGGTAGGTATAACACGGGGGCGGGCGGGAGGGCCCAGCTCACAGTCATAGAGAACCAGTTCGCTGACGTCACATCATCACCACTACTGGCTCACCCGAACCGGCCCGAACCGGGAGCAACCCACCACTGATGTCCAACCTTTTGGTTTGCCTGAGCCACATTAAGTGAAGAGGAATTGTCTTGGGCTGCAAATAAAATAGTTAATGCATATACATAACTAACTTCCTTTATTTTTTTATATTTGTTATTATGATCTTGTGGGGTCACAACACTAGCTGTTCAGGGCCACAGGAGGCCTGTTGGCCACAGGCTGGACATGCCTGATCTACAAGATACTTCTTGAGCTTCCCAACCAGCTTTAGCACATTCCTGCAACTGAAAAATCAGAAGTTTTTCTGATGCTGGAAAAAGTAATTTCATATACTTGTAGACCTGGGTCCTTTTTTTCCTTTTTCTTTTGCAATTTTTCACTGTTTGTCACAGATGTCAAAAAAACTAAAGAGTTTGTCCTCCCCCTTTTGCCCCCATTTGTCCTTTCCAATTGTCTGTACTCTCCTTTGCCTGTTCAGATATCTAGTAACCCTAGGGTTGAGTGGGCCTGTAAGTCTATGGCTGAGGGTAACTCTTGTCACTGTCTCCTAGAGTAAAGTAAAAATGAGATATGCTTGGGAGAATCAAATTAATTTAAGGCCAAGATTCTTTCCCCTTATTTTCCCCTTGTCTCCAGGTCTCTCTAGGCTCTAGCATCTCAGCCACTCAACTGGTGGCATCTGCAGAGACCGACTTCCCAAATACTGCGAGAGGCCTGCTTAAGTGGGCACGTAGGAAACATGGAGGGGTCACTTCATTGGCTGAGTATCATGGAGTCAATACAATCTACACACGCCTGGGATCTGGTATGGGCCACACGGAAGCAGAGCTGGCTTCAGAATTATCTGCTCTTTCTATGGGAGGATGGGATGTACTCTGGAGGGCCTTAATGCAGGCGGTAGAAGTTGTGGGGTTTAGCAGTGTAATAGAGTAGCAGTGAAATGGGTGTGAGCATGTTGTGTTTATATGGAGGGGGAGGTAGAAAGGAGCCTTTGAGTTTAGATCTAAAAAGAAGGGCTTCAGGAAGGAGGAAAACCAAGCTTCTAACCTGAATCAGATGCAAGCATGAATCCATAATTTGTTAAAGGAATAATTTGTTATTAAATTAAATTATTATTAAATGAATAATTATACTGAAAATATACAGGTTACAATTTGGTTCGTATTTAGGTGGATCCTATCAGGCATAGAGGCTGAATGAAATAAAGACAAGGACCACATGAATTCAACAATGTTAAGTGAAAACCCATTGCCAACCAAAAGAGTCGAATTGGACTGAAAGGTCTTTGATGTTAAATTAGCAGAAACAGCCAAAGTTTTTTTCCTTAGTAAGATCCTATCTCAGCAATTATATACATTCTTAATTCTCTTCTTACTTCGTCCCTCAATAGGTGGGACAGCCCAGGCAACTTGCAAATTGCATAGGAATTTCCTAACGCCCAAGCACTTTGCTTCTGAACGCCAGCTGCAGCCCCTGAGAATTTGCCAGAATCCTGATCCTCCTCAAGATCTTGAAGTTCACATTATCCTTTCCAAAGGTGTGGCCCCCAGGTATGCACTCGCACCTTGCCCAGAGGGTCTAACATTGATGGCTGGCTGGAAATAACACAGCAAAGCCGTTTATATTTAGAAGAGGCTGGACTGTTACGGAAAACTGACATTGTTCTTTGGAGTTGGGTGGGAAATGGAAAAGGATGCAAAAAACAGGCCTATGATAAACTGCATCAAAATGACATTAAAAATCACAAACATTGGGAACTGGCTTGCAAATATAATTCACTTTGGATGTTGTTGAAACCGTGTGTGTGTGTTTGTGTGTGTGTGTGATATTCAAGGAATCCTAACAATTAGTGGAAGCACAGATCTGATTCCATAATTTTTAGCTTGATGGTCTGATACTAAAGGTGGAGATGGCAGTCTGCTCTCTTCTAGGCCCAGGCTGGTCCATCTGACTGTTGAACTTCATGCGGTTGGAAGATCTCCACGCCAGAGGCTCCTCTTGATCCTGAAGAGTGAAGGAACTGCCCAATGGATGGTTCGTGTCCACTGTTTCACTGGACAGCTGCATGTACTGGTACGGGCAGGATCTGCCACGGCACACTCCGGGCTTCTTGGTGTTTTCTTTTCAGCAAAAAATGCTATTGGTAGATACCTGACATTGTCTGTCTCCTCATCTGCAAATGTAAATACAAATATTTGCAGAATTAGGCAGTCTTACCCACCTTTTTCTGTATGCTAGTCTGTACCATTGTTCTCCCTGGCATCAAACACTATTTCTTTGGCTGGATGTCACTCCACATTATTCCTTATTGGTGAAAGGGAGTAGTTGCTTTTCTACTAGGAGCCTTTCTAAGCACTACCATTTTGTTTGATTCCCTGGCCTGCCTCCCCTTTGAGTTGGCTGTTGCTCTTGACTTCAATGCTCTCAACGTATCCATCTGGACTGTTTTCATTCCAGGCTTCACACAAAGTCACCGTCAGCAACCCAGAAAAGAAGCAGCCTCTCACGGTGATTCAGCAGACGTCTCCTGAGCTGGCTAATGCTAGAGATCCTTTACAATATGCAGCAGAGCAGAAGCTACCGGTGTTCACCTCTTACACCGAAGCTGAGCGGGTGAACAGGTTTCTTCTGATTGTTGGACTGAAGGGTAGGTAGTTGTTCAAAGGGCTGAGGTGGAAAAGACCAATAAAGGGAAACATTTTGAAGCTCAGGGTTGTAATGAGGGGTCTTTGGTGCTCTCTGAGCTTGCCTGTTTTCTTGCAGAAGTTTCATTATCCAAACTAGGTAACACCATCAGTGCTACTAAGGAGTGCGGTACAGCAAATTGCACTCCTTATTAGCATTGTTGATGTTGCCTTGTTTGGGTAATGAAACTTTTGTAAGAAAGCAAGCAAGCACTAAGAACCCCTCGTTCACCGAATAGTTTGGAAACATACCAGCAGTGGTCATGAGGGACAGGGGCATTGTTATACTTCTCTTCCGGAAATTCATCTTGCAATACCTTCTGCATTCTGTTTTTAATTCTTTCTGCAAAAAGACTGGTGCTACTCTATCTTACGGCACTGAGATGACCAGAAAGAGATAGAGGGAGATCTTTCATGTACTTTAGTAATCAGGAGTCAAGACCAACTTGAAAATAACCCACCCCCCCAGCCAAATTTTACAATTTTTTGGATTTTTGAAGCGTCATATCTTCCCATCATAAATATTTTTAAATTATTGACTGTGACTAATAGTCTATTCAGATTTTTTGACATAGCCGAACCTCTTCTGATAGGCCACACTATATCCATACACAGTATGGAGCAGGGATTAAACTAAGACCAAGGAGACTGAGGTTGAACTTGAAGCCAACTGTCATCTGTGTGAAATGATGGAAATTATTATTTGACCTTTTCCCTGCTTTTTTAAATATACAAGTCAAGGGAGAGAACTTACTTCAGTCTAATTTGCATCTCATAAAATGTGAGCAGAATTCAAATCGCACTGACAATGTCTCCTTAAATGGTGACGAAACATTTGCAACCAAATTGCCAAGCTCGGAGCTCAAACCAACAGCCTAGGAAAACTTGTTAAAAAAATATTTTAAAGCTATGTATCACAGATTGTCAATGAGCTCAAAAATTGTGATCACAAGGCTCAGGTTTTATTTGATATTAATCTATTAAATTATTACATAAAATAATAATTTTAACAATTTGAAAAAACAATTACCATATTTTTTGGAGTATAAGATGTACCAGAGTATAAGACGCACCTAGCTTTTTGGGTGAGGAAAAGAAGAAAAAGAAATCTCCCTCTGCCTCTGACCAATTTTGCTTCCTTGCAACAAACAGCAAACAGCCTGCTTTACTTTCAGTTTTGTTTTCAGCATAGCTTGATTAGCAAAGGAAAAAAAATCTGCTCCAGCAGTTTACCTCTTTGCGCAAAACAGCTGAAAGCAAATCAGCTGAGAGTCAGGAGGCCGATCCAATCAACTTGTGCTAATTAGGCTGTGCTGAAGCTGAAAGGAGCTGTTTTTTCTTGCTGTTTGCTTGCAAGGAGGTAACTGCTGCGAGGCAGAGGCCAAAGGGTGAGGGCCAGTGGGTGGATGGGGCTACATTCGGTGTATAACACGCACCTAAATTTTCACCCCATCTTATACTCCAAAAAATATGGTATATGGATGAACCTTCTGACACATCCTAGGCTGGCCAGCTACTCAAGAGAACTTCAACGCAAGGATGGTTGTTCTCAGCCAATCTCTGCAAATGCCTAAAGTTGCAGTTTTATATTTACTTTTCCAATACTCAAAGGGCCACCAATATACTGATTTACAAATTTTGAAATATTTAAGAGCACGTAGGGCAGGCTTAACATCTAATCAAATGGAAGAATTAGTGAGAAATTATTTTTTAAAAATTATGCAGTTGAATATCCATGCTTTATAAAGGAGTTTCTTTGGGAATCATAGAAAGAGAGAAAAAGTAAGGAAAACAATTGTTACAACTCAGATTTGCATAAAAATTTTAAAAGCCCATCCAACTAACTTAACTAGTTGCTTGTGATTTGCTTTTCATATCATGTGCAGGAATCTTTGCTGGAAGATCGATTGGAAAAGTGTATTAGTTTAACTGGCTGGATGGGCCCAAATCCAGCCAGTTATATTTGGGGGGATTTAAAGCCAGGCATCCCTTTGGTGGAAAGAGATTGCTGTTTGGAACAATTGTGATTAAAATTAATTTTCTAATGCAGATTGCCTGGTTAGTAAACCCATCAGTACTGTACTTAGTTTAGATTAAAAAACAGAAAGGAGGGTTTTTTTTAAACTTAATCTTCAGGTTAATGGTATTGGAGCCATGACACTCTAGAGGGCGCTGCTAGTACGCCAGATAAAAGAGTTTGCAGATAAATTACATACTGCAGTGAGGGTAACATGACACATTATATTAATTTAATTGTCCTGGCACTATGTATAGACAGCTCACCCCTGAATGTGCCTCTACATTTTTTGCTGAGTGTATAAAATATTTCATGGCACTCACAACTTAATGACCGCCTGATTTTACTGTATAGAGATCATTCTACCTCTTTGTCCCATTGAGCGTACTGAATCTATAGAGGAGAGAATCATATTGTACTGAAACTCAAAACCTCTATGACTTCAGTAATACATAAAAGAGTTCACCTACTAACAAGAAAATGCTGTCTGTATCCCACACTTATTTTTTTTCTCTCTCTCTCTCTTTGCAGAGGCCATACCTGCTGCTCCTCTGGAGAATCATGAACTCTTTGGACCCATGTTCTTGCTTCTCTCCAGACTTGCAGTTGAGAGACAGCAGTTTCCAGAGGCTGTCACTGTAAGCTGGGAAAACAAGCGGAAGGAAGAGGACAGTTCTGTTCTCTCTACCTTGGCTGCCGCTGAAACAGAGAAAGTTGAATCTGATTTCTGCTATGGGATCCAAAAGCCCATGCATGAAAAGGAGGATATAAAGAAAGTAAGTAAACTAGCTGAGATAGTTCCAGGCTTGGAAAGAGAATAGGTCTTCTAGAACAGTGTCTCCAACCTTGGCAACTTTAAGCCTGGAGGACTTCAACTCCCAGAATTGCCCCAGCCAGCTTTGCTTTGCTTTGCAGAGCTGGCTGGGGGAATTCTGGGAGTTGAAGTCCTCCAGGCTTAAAGTTGCCAAGGTTGGAGACACCTATTGTCAAGGTTGGAGACCCCTGTCCTAGAATATGATTTCATGTGGAAGGGTGGATGGGCAGACCTTCAGCTGCCACCAAGAACACCATTTGTAAGAGATTGCATTGCATGAATATAGGAAGCTACTTCAAAGAGTGATGCAACTGGCCAGCCAAACATTTGTTGGTAGGAATGGCTGAGTAGAATGAGTAAACAGCTACTTTACAGATAAAGTGTCAGGTCTTTGCTGGAACAAAGCCACTAAACAACCAGGCACAAAGGGGTTCTTACAGAATATATTAATTTTTAGAGGTAATCTTAGCGTACACTTCAGTACCTTTCTGGTCTGGTTGCTAAAGGACACTTCACATGAAATCTTTCAAGCCTTAGCTTGCATGCTTGGTGATTTTCTGTTCCAACAATACTCCTTGCCCTGCTTGACAATAGCAGTTAAGTATATGGAGGTGGCAGTGGTGGGTTTCAAAGTTTTTTACTACCAATTCTGTGGGTTTGGCATGGTGTGGCATGGTTTGGTGGGCATGGCAGGGGAAGGATACTGTAAAATCTCCATTTCCACCCCACTCCAGGGGAAGGTTATTGCAAAATCCCCATTTTCTAATAATAATAATAATAATAATAATAATAATAATAATAATAATAATAATAATAATAATAATAATAATAATAATAATAATTTTATTTCTATACCATCCTTCTCCCGAAGGACTCAGGGCGGTGTACAGCCTATTAAAACACAAAAATATACGGATATCAATTAAAAATAATTTAAATTATTAAATTATTTCGGCCTGAATTAAAACCCAAAAATTTATAACACCCAATTTAAAAACATTTACTTTGATAGCCTGGCCTGGCGGAACAGCAGGGTCTTGAGGGCACAGCAAAATACACGGAGGTCGGAGATCTTGTGCAGTTCCGGGGGCAGTTCATTCCATAGGGCAGGAGCTCCGACAGAGAAGGCCCTCCCCCTGGGTGTCGCCAGCCGACATACCTTGGCCAATGGCACCCTGAGGAGCTCCTCTCTGTGGGAGCGGACTGGTCGGTGGGAGGCTACTGGTGGCACTTGGGAGGCAGAGAGTAGATGGGGACGGGGCCAGTCAGAATTTTTACTACCGGTTCTCTGAACTACTCAAAATTTCCGCTATCGGTTTTCCAGAAATGGTCAGAACCTGCTGAAACCCACCTCTGGGAGGTGGTTGACGGACCAATAGAAGATCCCATCTCCATCCACCCCCATCCACCCTGCCCCTTCCCTCCTCTTCTTTTAACTATAATTTGTATTTTAATTATTAGAAATATTTATTTTTTATGGTTTTTATTGCTTTTATATGTAGTAAGCCTTGCAGCAAGATAAGCAGCAAACACATTTAACAAATAAATAAATAAATAGAATATGAGAGCCAAGGTTTCTCCCAGATTTGTCACCTGAGAGTCTTTTAATTCAGGGGTCTCTCATCCCCTGGTTCATGGACCGGCACCGGGCCACAGCATGCCAGAGAGAGGGGGGAGGGGGGAGGGAAGGAGGGAGGAGACACAGCTAGTAGTCCACTGCTGAACTTGCTTTGGAAAAAGTTACAGCATTTCATTTCCCTTTCAGGCTTTATTGGTCTTCTCGGATGAGCTATGGCTTACCCTAACTGTTGGTATGCCAATGGCACAAACAAATAGCAAACGGACTGGTGCTTCAGTGTACTACTTATCTGAGATTTAAAAGAAAAGCCTCATAAAGCATGTTGAGGTTCAGACTTTATGTGGGCATAAAGTTGGTCTGTGATTCTTACAATTAAACTCTTGTGCCAAATATAAACCTCTTTCTTTCCTAAAGTTTTCCTTGTCTTTTCTACTTCAACCCAGGCATTTTCCTCAGAAGACAAAAAGTTACAGGACCGTCCTTTTCGCCATGTTCAGCTCAGCCTAGATGTGTCCAATTCTGAGGCTTTTGTCAAACAACCAGGATTCTGTATCGTCTCTGCCAACAGCCGGGTTTTTGTGGAAGTAATACTGATATTCAGTTTGAAAAAAATTGACTTCTGGTGCAAAAATTCAAATTTCTTATCCCTTAAATAGTGCAAGGCCACTTAACATTTTCCAAGTTGCATTATTTCAGGGGTTGTGGCCAGGACTCCCAGCATCTCTCACCTTAACTAGGCCAGAATCTGCTTACTTCTTTTAAAGTACCAATTTAGATACTACTTGAGACGATGGGTTTCAAAATCCTACATATCTGGAAGGTATCAGCTTTGGAGCCTTTGGCTCTTTTCCCCAAAACTTGGGAAAGAAGATCCTCAGAGACTATGTTAATTAGAGGCTACTTCTAGGCTCCTTCAAGGATTGGTCACTTGCGTGAATATTCTTTTTTTTTTTTTTTGTAGCAGTTATGGAAGAAAAAGTGAGTTTTCAGGTTGCATTTCCTCTATTGGGAAGCCTTCAGCAAATGGGCCTTCATTTTGCCAAATATGGTTGTTGGGATTGCTCCGTTTTTATAAGGAAATAGTATGGCCAGTCAGCATTTTTGGGAGAGTTTTTTTAGAAAAGCAACTACAAGCATATTTATGATAACCATCAAGAAAAATCCATATGATTGTATATATTTGGGCTCCATCCCCCGCAGGCAGAGCCCCGTGATGTTTTCTCTGTTCCTTACTCCATTCTTTCAAGATCAAGCATTGGGTTTGCTAACTCTATGGTGGGGTGTTTTTTTTTTTTTTTTGTCCTCCAGGCATCTTTGATCACGTTTCACTTCTGTCTTGGCTTCACCATCCAACAATGCTTCATCTCTGCCTCTTCGGATTCTTCAGTGATATCTTCATACCTGCTTATCCAACATGGCTGTGCAGCTGATTCCCATGTCAACCTGTTAGCACCTCAACAGGCAGTTCAGGACCAGGCATCGCGCCCAAGATACCACCAACGCCAACGACTAAGTTTTGTGCTCCAGCCTCGCTCCAATCATTCCATTCATTTCTTACATTGTCGCCTGATACTCTGCAACAGGGAACCTCATGACTCCAGCAAAACTAGCGGTTCAATCCCCAAGGTCTCTATAGCCTTTTAGAGCAAGGAAATAAACTTTTAACAGTTGCCCAGGAGCTCTGTGCAAATACTCACTTTCTGTCTCTGACGCTGCCCTGACATAAGAAGATGTCTTGCGTTAGGTCAGGCTACCCGCCAGGCTTTGGGTTGACCATTTGGATAGAGAGGGTATTAGACACCCATGTTTCTTCCACCTATCTTGGAGGTTTTGTATGCAAATCAGGTGCTCGATCACTGAGCTATGGCATACGTTTTGTCCAAAGCGTGGAAAAGTAGTGCTTAAGAACAACTGAGAATCTGGGGGCAAGGCAAAAGGGAAGCTTCTTAATGTATCTCAAATGAGTTTCTGCACAGAATTACTTAATGTAACTTATTTGGGAAATTAGATGCATGATCTTATTGAAAAAGATAGTGGCATTTGGTTCAGACTTTTTCCCCCTTGCAAAGAGATACTCTTTGAGACAGATTTTTGTTTCAGTGCCAGTTTGAGAACAAAGCCTGCAGGAGAGAAGAGCCAGCCAGTGGGGACTTCCAGCGTACCATCACAAAGCCCATCATGGTGACCATGGAAACTCCACTCAGACCACCTTCTCCTAGTCTGAAGCCAGGTAGGTGCTTGGCTGTTGGCTCGGGAGAATGGCATCCCTCGCTGCAGAGAGATTTCAGTGCCTGCATTTGGGGAAGACAGTCTGCACCACCCCTTTCCAGGATATAAATGAAAATCCAGAGATATATGACCCTTTTTTTGTGCATCTCCTCACATCTAGTTATAGGCAACACACAGCAGTGATTGGGTGGGCCAATGTAAACTCAAAAATATGCACGTATTTTATGGAAGACATTTCCAGATTTGTTTTTCTCAGCCTCTCCCTCCTTGACTCTTACATTCTTTGCCATAGATAAATCCCTGGCTAACCAGCAAGGAAAAGCAAAGAATGCCAGGAAGTCGCAGAAGGCACAGCAAGTTCTGAGTGAGTATGTGCTGATGTCTTACTTCTTTAAGCATGTATCCTGGGATATGGAGAACAGTTCTGAATCCGAATTCCATCTCCTCGCCTAGAAGAGGTCCCAGGGCTTTTCCCGTAGCTCAGTTCAAGTGCTCTACTCCCATCTGTGAACCAGCACAGGTTAAATGCAACGGGGAACCTTGCTCTTCCCCATTGCATTTAACCATGGCTTGCAGCCAGAGGACAATGTCATTTCCCACACAAAGAAGGCCACTTTTCTCACACTTTCTCAGTGTCACCAGCTGACAAGGAAAGAAATTGCCAATCGCAGTACAACCACAACCAGAAATTATTTTGACAAATGGCTGTACTGTACTATGTGCTGGAGCTTGATTCTTTTTCATTTGCTGCCTCTCCCAGAGTGGAGATCAGCTGCCCAAGCAAGGTGATTGGGATGAGGGACTGTTTATCTGCTGGTTCTCCTAGCCAGTCCTCAGGCCTAGATCAAGCAAACTACAGACAGATGTAGAGTCAGCAAGCTGATTCTAACACAACTCCGTGTGTTAGACTTGTAACAGACTTATAGCTGTTGTTTGTTCTGCTATTGTACCATGCACGGTTAGGGGCTGTGCTGTGAAGCAGTAGAGAAAGAGAACAATCTCTCTCGTACATTTCATCTTGCAGCTCCCCATCACTACTGAGCAAGTACAATTCAGGCAGATTCAGGTCTTTGAGCTGAGGATTAAGAATTAATAAAGAAAAGACACCAGATTGATCCTACCCTCCTGTGGTCCACCTGATAGGTCTATCAATAAGATGGACAACCAAACACATGATTGTACCCATGATTATCATGGTATTTTTGCTGCTCACAGGTCAAAACAGTGCTTTAACATCAGAACATTTAAGGATGGCTTTAAGCAGCCCGAGGTACGGGTTGGGCACAAAGTGAAAGCAAATGTCTTGTGAATATAGCAAAAGAAGCAAGGGTAGGAGGGGTGGTGGCACATATGTATCATGGAAAGGCTCAAATATGGCCAGATCAATGACTCCTTCTACAATGTTTTTCTAGTTCTTCAAGGTATATATTTGGCTCTATTTCCACAGTAGTGCCCCCCCCCCAAAAAAAAGAAAAGAAAAAGGAAAGCTTCCACTTGTTTAACAATATGATTCCAGTTACTTCTCATTAGGGATGTGCAAAACTTACCGATTCAGGAGCAGACTGTACTGAATCTCCTCCTGATCTCACTCTGGGTATCTCCTGTGACAGAATGTCCAAGGTTATCAAATTTGTTCTTGTCATGTTGACCTGAGTTGCATGAATCACACACATAAGAAGAGGCGGGGAGTCTAAAAGAGGTTATTAGAAATTTAGCTGCTGTTTGGGGGAGAGGTGAAAGACAAAGACTGACAAGAACATGGAAGTACTGTCCATCACAGGAGAAGTTATGATACATCTTGGTGACAGAAAACAGTGGAGTTCAAAGGACACTTCAAAGACTTCCGAAGAGACATTTGATGGTTGGGATTCCAGGGGAAGAGGCAGTGAGAGGGAGGGTGAGTTATGAGCTTAAGATCCCAGAGAGAAGGAAAGAAGAGAGCAGAGAATAACAGAAGATAAAGCAGCTGGCAACTCTTTGTCTCTACAATGTTATCTATAAGTCAACTCTTTAATGTTATAAGAAGGAGTTACCCAGGGCAGGGAGGAGGAAGGGAATTGTTTAAAACCTGTATAGCTATCTGAAAGTTAAAATAACTCTGCACACAAGGAAGAAGGAAATAAATACAAACAAAATAAGATCTTTTAATGAGGGAGAAAAGAAAGGAAGAACTTAAGAGATAAGCAGTGAAGGAAATACAATAGCGATAGATTTATACTGCTCCATAGTGCTTTACAACGTCCTCTGAGCTGTTTTCAGAGTCAGCAAATTGCTCACACCAATCTGGGTCCTCATTTTACTAACCTCAGAAGGATGGAAGGCTGAGTCAACTTCTGGCTGTGAGCATAGTTAGCCTGTAATACTGCATTCTAGTGCCACTGTTCCACCAGGGATCATAATATTTAAGAAAAAGCAGAATCGCAAAAATAACAGGAGCAACAGTAAAATAAAGAGAATTTTGAAATATAAATTCACTATAAAGAACTGCCACTTGTGGCAGTTCCAAACAACTTAAGACATCTATTTAATTTGTAAATAGCCTGATAATAAAAATAGCTGTTTCACTGATAGAATTGCATGCCTGGTTTGTTGCCATTCTAAAATGACTGGAATAGTGTGCAGAGGAAGAGTCAGATATTCCAAAGTTCCCCAGAACATACACAAATAGATTTTGAATACCCTTATTAGCTGGCTAAAATATTAGCTGGCTTATAATTCTTTAAATTCAAAGTATATTTGCCAAGTTTCCCAAAATAACATACCTCCCACAACTCTGAAATCTGCCCAGTTTTGATCTGATGAGTTTGAAATAAGAAGATTCTTTTGCAAGAGTTAGAATGATCTTCCTCTTTGTTTCAAGAAATGAACTAAAATGAATGGAACCTTGATTTTAGGGGGTTTTTTTTCCTTGCAAATTTTTAATTTTTGGGACTTGTTTCATATTTTGCAACTGGTTTTATTGGGCAAAGGGAACAAGACTTCTCAATTCCATGTATTTCCAACTTTTCTGCAGCTACTCCTTCCCCAGTTCTGGAGCTCCCAGCTGTCTTTGGCATAGCCTTTTCAGCATTCATCATTGGCATCTCCCTCACTGGTGGCCTCTGGTTCATTCATTCTCAGACGCGTATGTAGAAGGACAGTTTTCAATGCTATTGCTAACATTATTCCATGTTCCTTCTGGCTGCTGCCAAAGTCTGTGACAAAAAGTATCATAGTAGACCAGATGAAGGGCCTATTAGTTCAACCTGAAGGAGCCGAGGTGGCGCAGTGGTTAGAGTGCAGTACTGCAGCTACTTCAGCTGACTGCTAGTTCAGCAGATCAGTGGATCAAATCTCACTGGCTCAAGGTTGACTCAACCTTCCATCCTTCCTAGGTGGGTAAAATGAGGACCCAGATTGTTGGGGGCAATATGCTATTTAGTATACTGTCTTTGGTGTAAGCTGCCCAGAGTCCTCGGAGAGTGGGCAGCATAGAAATATTATTATTATTATTATTATTATTATTATTATTATTATTATTAATAATAATAATAATAATAATAATAATAATAATAATAATAAACAACCTGGTGTTTCCCAGAATGGTCAACCAGAGGACAATGAAGGCCCATTAAGGGTTAAGTTTAAATGAGCACTATTGCATCCGTACCCCTCAGATGAGAACTTCCAGATAATAACTTTTATGAGCTGAATAGTATTATAAATATAGGAGACCTGTTTCCTAGTTTCTCCACATAATTTTATACAACTCTATTATTTATTTACTATTACTAGTGTTGAAAAGCCAAAAGATAAACTTTTTCCCTATAGAAATAGCTCCAGCTCTTGAAAACTTTTTTGGTGATGTATTTATCAGAATGTCGACAGTAGTCTAAATATAATTGCATTCTAGATTTATAGAAACAAATAAATGAATCCCAATATAGATTTCATATTTTTTATGGCTACTGCATATGAATTAATGTTTCAAGCTCTTTAGAACTGACATGACAGGCTATTGAAAGGTGTCCTGGAATTGCAATAATCTTATAATCCTGATTATGAAGCTGCAACATTTGTCTCCTGGTGTATCCTCAATATCAATCTATACAAATTCCTCAAGAAGCTCTAATAAGACATATTTTCAAATGCTTTTTGAAAGTCTATCCATTGGATCAGAAAGAATTGAATAAATTAAATATTGTTCAATATAAAAATTGTAAAATGTTGTTAAACTATAAGTAGAAACCCAATATAATCCAATAACAGTTTTACTGTAATGTAGAAAAAGGTACTTTATTATAACCAGAGACCAGACAAATTAAATGCTTATCAATACTAAACAATAAAATAATTTTGACAATTGCAGTAATGTCATTAAAGGATTAAGGAATACTTCCTAGATAATTATTCCCATGCATAGCAACTTAAAACCACTCCAAGACATTCAAGTTAAAAATTAAATTGTAACTGACAAGCAGTCAATTGGCCAGTTTACAGAGGTAGCTTAGATGTTACAGATAGTCCTTGACGTATGACCACAATTGAGCCCCAAATTTATGTTGCTAAGCAAGACAGTGCCCCATTTTGCGACTTTTCTTGCCACAGTTGTTAAATGAGTCACTGCAGTTAACTTAGTAACATGGTTGTTAAATCAATCTGGCTTCCCCAATGACTTTGCTTGTCAGAAGGTCACAAAAAATTACCCCAGGACACTGCAGCTGTCATAAATACGAATCCGTTGCCAAGGGTCCAAATTTTGATCACATGACATGGGGATGCTGCAATGGTTGTGTGAAAAATGGTCGTAAGCCATTTTTTTCAGTGTTGTTATAACTTCAATCACTAAATGAATGATTGTAAGTTGAGGACTACCTGTATTTCTTGACCCACTATCACACAAATTTTGGAACATTTTTGTCTAAAAGCAGCAAAAAATGGCTTTGACTAGTTTGGAGGATAGAACAGAAAAGCTGTGATGTAGTTCATGCAATAATCACCGGATTATAAACTACTGGTCCCAGCAGTTTTCTTGGCAATGTCTTTCAGAAGTGGTTTGCCCTTACCTTCTTCCTAAAGCTGAGAGAGAGTGAATGACCCAAGGCCACCCAGCTGGCTTTGCCATGGGGTTCAGTGCTCTCTCATTTCCTGTTTAAGAGTTATATGACGCCATAGTCATCTGTTGGTTGGATTGAAGTGTCATTAGTATGCTGATGATATCCAGCTATGTATACCTGGGCTGAATGATGCCATGGAGTGATGCTGCAGAGTGTCATGTCATGTGTGATGCAATGGTTGTCCGAGTGATGCCATGGGGCTCCTGTCTTGGTGCTCTAGGATCTGGATTGGGAAAAACAGGCTTTGACTCAATCGTGTAAGACCAAATGTTTTGGAGTTGTAGGACCTCCAAGTTCCAGGGACCTTTTATCTTTTGTTCTAGAGAACGTTGCAGTCCATACAGACCTTGTGCCTAGATTGGGGGTCGTGTTGGACTAATGGCTCTTCTTCAAATAGCAGGCTGCACTGTGGCCAGAAGGCTCTTTGTAAAGTTTTGTGTGATGTGCCAATTGCACCTGTTCCTGGATTGGGAGGACTTGCTCACATCACTTATGCCTTTGTCACATCCTGTTTGGATTACTGAAATGGGTCCTACCTGGGGGTACTCTTGAAGAGTATTCTGGAAGCTTCAGATGGAGCAAAATGCACCACTGTAAGGCAGGAGGGATATGTGGTGGGTTCCCACTCCAAAACAGCTCCATCTGGCAGGGCCAAGGCTGTGTGCCTTTTCTGCTGTGGCCCCCATCTCCTAGAACATCATCCCATCTCTGTTAGCCTTCCAGAAGTCCCTTAAACTCTACCCCTTTATTCCACCAGCCTTGGGGATCCCAGGTGAAGAATGAGATTGAGTGTGGTTTGTTCTCTCACTTTCTAGGGTTTTATCTATTTATTTCAGTTGTAACTGATTTTAGATTGCTAGGGAGTTTTTAGCTGTTGTGGTGGTTTATGCCACCCAAATTCACATGTTTGTGAGATGGGTAGCTATATGCAAGTAGTCCTTGACTTATGACTGTAATGGAGCCTGCCCATTATGGTCATAAGTGGTACTGGTTGTTAAGAAAGGCATTGTGATCCCCTCACTTAGCAACCACAATTTCTCGTCTCCCTATTTTGTTTATTAAGCGACTGTGAAAGTTGTTAAACAGAGCATGGGATCTATGTATCACCCCATAGTGCTTTACAGCACTCTCCAGGCAGATTACGATGTCAGCATATTGCCCCCAACAATCTGGGTCCTCATTTTACCAACCATGGAAGGATGGACGACCTTGAGCATGTCAAGATAGAACTCCTGACTGTGGGCCCAGTCAGCCTGCATTCACTTTGCCACCAAGGCTCATTGTTATCTCCTGTGAGAACTATTTGCCTTCCTGAAAAATATAACTTCAATCACAAATTGCTGTTCAATATCTTTCTTTTAATGCATTGAAGTAATGTTTACTGTTGGTCTTGATGTTATTAGCAATAAGTTTTTGAAAAATCATTTTTAGAAACTGTTACTTTCTTGCATGATCCTCCTCCTCCTTTTCCTCCCACTCACCCCCCCCCCCTAAAATTTTGTGTCTATTTTGGTAATCCTTGTTTTGACAAACATCTATTTAAAAAAAAAAAAAAAACCTTTCCCCCCTAAAAAGACTCCTTTACCATGTTTGGTACCTATGCTCTATTGGCCTCTTTTGGGACTATATATAACAATATAGTAATAACCAAATTGGCACAGTGGTGAAGATGTTGGTCTAGAAACCAGGTTGCTGTGAATACTAGTCCTTCCTTAGGCATAAAAGCCAGTGGGGTGACTTTGGGCCAGTCACTCTCTCAGCCCAAATCACCTCATAGGACTGTTGTAGGGAAAATAGAAGGTGGGAGGATTATGTTTGCTGCTTTGAATTGTACAAAATAAATGTGGGATATAAATCTGATAATTTTAGCTGAATTGCCATGATCATGGATTTGAACTCCCCCCACCCCCAACCCTTCTGGAAAGATCTGATCCACTTAAATTTCCGATCACTTTGTCTTTCTTATATTGGCTGTACAATTATTGTTCATGATTCTTTAAGAAGGCCCGAGATTCAACACAGAAAGTGTGTGTGTGGGGGGGACTGGAAAGAAACCAAATTATGTACTTAGGCTTAGGTATAGTAAGGGTAATGAATTAAGATGTTAAAATGGAGAACAAATAATTGCTGTTTTATTAATGGAAAGATTGTGGAAAGGAAACATGGCATTTAGGTGAGGATCTATAGTTAAAATTACTCAGCCTTGTCGTTCTGCCACATTTCATTTTTACTCATATAAGAAATGTACTACAGAATGTTACTTTATAATAAGCAGACAATATGTCACAATGCTTTCTGTGCATCAATGTAATTTTCAAATCCAGTTCTCACCATGAAGAAAAGACAACTAAAATGACACAAAGTAGAGGTCAGAAAGTGGAATTAAATCTATGGGATAGTGAAATCCATGGCCCTTTTCTTTCTTCAAAATTTTTAGCAGATATTGTATATCCTTTTCCCAGGATATTCCTGGGCTTTTTTGCCCAGGAAATAAAATTAATTCTAAAAATTAAAAGTTTCATATGTTACCATTGTCCTTGAATTCTTAGGTAAGATGGCTGCCAGAAAGAAGGCCCAGCTTGCAAATGAGAAAGGTAAGGTAGTCAGCCTTGGTAATTGTATTTATTGGTACTTGATTCCTAGTTTCAAAAAATAATTAAGCTCTGCATGTGAAGAAAGCCAACCTAGTCAATTTTATTGGCTTTATATTTCCCTGGAGTGTTTTCCCCAAAGTATTATGGGAGTTATAATTCAGTAACAATGCACAGATCCCTAGCTTCTCTCCCCTCACACAAAATATGGTCTTGTTCACTCTTCCATGGGAATCCCTAGTTTGGCTTGAACACCTTAAATGCAGTTTTCTCTACCCAAGTGCTCTTCAAATATTTCAGTAAATTACTTGCTGCAAAAGCACCTGAGCCAAATCAGGACTGTTGCACACTTCAGCTAGTTTTGTTTGACCTCATATGTAACAGTAAGAAGCTGGAGTTACACATAGATGATCATAAATAAACCCAGAACAAATAGGAGAAGGCAAGTTTGCCCATTTGTGGAAGAGGCAATAATCCTATATTGAACGCAAGCAAGCAGAAGGGGTTGCTGGAGAAAGAAAAAGAATGACACGTTTGTATTTTATTGCATTTTACCTACCAGCTCCTGAAGAAACAGCTGTTTCCACTACTCTGGATATTTCCTCAGCTTTGAATGTAAACAGCCCTGCAGATAATTTCCTGTCCTAGAAGCCTCTCCTGAACACAGGTAGCTGAATTTGTTAAAGTTTGTGGGAAAATATGACTGGGATTCAACGCTGACAAAAGCAATGAAGGCCAACTCTGTTGTCAGATGATACATATGTGGAACTGTCTTTAATTTTCAATGAAATATTACTTATTCCATGGATTTGGTTGAGAATGAAGAACTCTTGAGCAAGTGTTAGATTGACAATGAAGTAACTCACAAGTGACTGGTCCTGCAGCAGCTGCAGCCATCTACTTTTCATTGCCTGAAACGTTATTTAAAAAAAAATTGGGTGAGCGCCATAACGATCTAGCATTTCCAAACTATATGGCATACTAGGCTCAGTTTCCTGTGCCACTGAACTAAAATGGGCAGCCCTGTGCAAGACCAAACATGTACTAACCGTAGGTACAATCCCTTTCATCTGAACAGAACCAAAACTGCTAAGACGTATTGTATGTTGCATTTGTGACTGCTTTATAGTATAGATCTCAAAAATAGTGAACACAGGCTGTTGGTTTGAGCTCTGAGCTTGGGAATTTGGTTGCAAACATTTCATCACCATTCGAGGAGACATTGTCAGTGTCTCCTCGAATGGTGACGAAACGCATAGGACCTGGGTACTTGCGGGACCGCCTTCTGCCGCCGATAGCCTCCCACCGTCCAGTACGCTCCCACAGAGAGGGACTCCTCAGGATGCCATCGGCCAGGCAATGTCGGCTGGCGACCCCCAGGGGGAGGGCCTTCTCTGTGGCAGCCCCTGCCCTCTGGAACGATTTGCCCCCGGAGATAAGAAGGATATCGGATCTTCGGGTCTTTCGCCGAGCCCTGAAAACTCTTCTTTTCCAGCAAGCAGGGCTGGCGTGAACCCCGCCCCCCTTTTTTAGTTTTTAATGGTTATTAATTGTTTAGTTTTAATTTGTTAATGGGTTTTAATTCGCACTGTTTTAATTCGGGCCAAAGTATATAATTCTTTTAATTAATTTTAAATTTTGTATTGTTATGTATTTTAGTTTTGGCTGTGCACCGCCCTGAGTCCACTAGGAGAAGGGCAGTATATAAATTGAATAAATAAATAAATAAATAAATAAACCGAGTTACTAATATTCAAACACATTTCATAGTGAACATAGCTGGTGAATATAGAGCAGCTTGTGCTACAAGCACTGTTTCCACCTATTGGAAAATGCAGTCCTACCACAGTTTGTGAAAGATTATGGCTAAAGAAATGGTGAGAAGTAAAGTTGATTAGTATGTTAACCTGCAAACCAGCCACCTCACCAATTACAGGTAATTTACAACAGTTCATTTAGTGACAGTTCAAAGTTACGGCACTGAAAAAAGTGACTTATGATCATTTTTCACACTTATGACCTCTGCAGCATCCCCATGGTCAATTGATCAAAATTCAGATGCTTGGCAACTGGTTCATACTTATGATGGTTGCAAAGTCCTGGGGTCATGTGATCCCCTTTTGCGACCTTCTGACAAGCAAAGTCAATGGGGAATCCAGATTCACTTAACAGCTGTGTTACTAACTTAACAAATGCAATGATTCACTTAACAAATGTGGCAAGAAAAGTCACAAAATGGGGCCAACTCACTAAACAAATGTCTCAGTTAGCATACTTTGGGCTCAATTGTGGTCATAACTTGAGGACTACCTGTATGGAAAGAGACAGAAAGGAGTTGCATAGCAGCTGTAAAATTTATCCCACTGAGTTGTATAAAATTGTTACTTTTGTATTACTGGGCAAAAAAACACACCAAAAACTGCAGAGGAGAACATGAGAATTGTAACAGGGTGGTTAGAAGTACAGAAACCATTTTTCTATCCACTTTTTTTTTTATTTTAACAGATTCTGGGATGAATTTTCAAGCTTCTATGAATCTACTAGCCTTCTCCCTCTATTACAAATGGAAGCTTCAGTATCTTTTTACTGTCCCTGAATTGGTGCTTGATGGTCCAACTTCAATAAGTACATGAGCAGCAGGAAGATTTTTCATTATGGAACAAGGTGGAAGACTAAAAAGTTGTGTCTCTTCATTGAAGTGTGCCTCCTCAACTGGGCCATCATCAAAGGGAACTGTCCTGCTTGAGTCTGTGCTGAAATATCTACATTCCTCTACCGTGACAGATGTGCTGCTGTTGTTATACTTGGGGAAGTTATCAATTAAACACACTGGGAGAAAAGATAGACTAGGGAACATTTAATAATTCCTACTGAGTGTTATCTGGCTGTGTTTTCCTGTCCAATAGTGCTAATACTTTGTAACTGATATATGTACATGACATGCCCTATCCAACAAATAAACTATTTTAGATCTTAATGTATTGATCCATTAACCAAGTGTACTAAGAAAGGGCTGAATTTCCACAATATGTTAAACTACTGCTTACCCACAATCATAGCCCAGAATCTTACACCATTTCTTTATTAAATTATATTATAAAATATAACTATATTTATATTACAAATTTATAATATATATTATGACATAACTATATTATAAAATATAAACTAAACCAGCTCCAAAAGGTTTTAAAGAAGCAAGTAGCAAAAAAAATGGTCATAACAGGGGAATTTTGTTAGTGATAAAGCAAATGATAGTGTTTCCTATTAAACTGCTGAGCAGACTAGCAAAAAAAGCATTGTGACTCTTCAGCAGCAATAGTAGTCTTCACGCTTTATGCTATTATTTGGAAATGCCACTCATTTGATCCACTATAACGTAACATATGCTTTGTTCCCAAACCCTTATTTAGTGGTCAAGTAATTAACAGAGGTAGCTGTTGACTTATAATTGGAACCAGAATTTCCATTGCTAAGCATGGTGATTGTTAAGTGAGTTATGATATTTTTGGGCCACAACTGTTAAGCAAATCATTTGAGTTGTTAAGTGAAGGGCACGTTTTTTAAGCAAATTGGTTTCCCTCATTGACTTTGGTTGTTGGAAGTTGGCTGGGAAGGTTGAAAATGGCAATCATGTGACCCCAGGATATTTCAACCATTGTAAAATACATGTTGGTTGCCAAGGGCTCAAATTTTGAGCACACAACCAAGGCGATGCTGTGCAAGTCCTAAGCATAAGGACTAGTTGTAAGTCTCTTTTTTCAGTGTCATTGTAACTTTGGCCACTAAATGAAGTGTAAGTTGAGGAATATTTATTTATTTAAAAAAATTATTGGCTGCCTATCTTACCATAGGGTAACTCTGGACAGCTTACAGTTACATTTAGGTTAAAACAAAAAGTTAAAATCAAACATTAAAACCAAAGACACATGAGAAGGTTGGGGAGAGAGGGGGGGGAGCTGGGATCTGTTATTACTCAATCAACCACCTCCATTGCGCTGTTCCCCCACTGGGGCCCCAAGCTGATTGGCACAGCCACATCTTTAGGCCCTTATGAAAATATAGGAGGTCAAGGCCAACCTCACATCGAGGGGCAAAGAGCAACAGCTGAGAAGGCCCTCCTCCTGGATCCCACCAGCCAGAATAATAAGGCTGACAGGACCAGCAGTATGCCTCTTCTACAGCACTGGGCCAATCCCAGTGGGGTGAGATGGTCCCTCAGGTAACCTGGACCCGTGACATGAAGAACTTTAAAGGTGATTACCAACATCTTAAATTGCACCCAGAAGCAGACTAGCAATAGCAATAGCACTTAAACTTACATACCGCTTCACAATGCTTTACAGACTTCTTTAAACGGTTTACAGAGTCAGCATATTGCCCCCAACAATCTATGTCCTCATTTTACCAACCTCAGAAGGACGGAAAGCTGAGTCAACCTTGAGCCTAGTGAGAATCGAACTGCCGAAGTGCTGGCAGCTGGCAGTCAGCAAAATTAATCTGCAACGCTGCATTCTAACCACTGCACCACCATGGCTCTGGTAACCAATGCAGCTGGCAGAGCAGTGGTCTTACAGGGGCCATTTTTGGGGGGCCCAAAACTACTCACACTGCCGCAGTCTGCACCAGCTGCAGCCTCCAAATGCTCTTCAAGGGTAGTCCCATATAGAGCACATTACAATAGTCCAGTTGTGAAATGACTAGGGATTGAACGATTGAGTGCAAGGAATCCTGGTCCAGGAAAGACTGCAACTGGCACACAACACAAAGTTTTGTAAAGGCTCCCCTAGCCTTGACTGCCATCTGTTCCTCAAACAGGAGTCATGAGTCCAGGAGAACCCCAAAGTTGCGGACCGGGTCTTTCTGAGGAAGTGGCACCACATCAAGAGTCAAAGATAACAAAGTCCCGGATCCCGGGACCAGTGTACCCAAAGCCATTCAGTCTTGCCAGGGTTCAGTTGAAGCCTGTTGTCCCCCAACTAGGTCCCCACAGGCTCCAGGTATCCCGAAACGGCGGCCACAGCATCACTTGGGTCACCAAGAGGGGAAATATACAATTGGGAATACCTGTTATGTTTGTTTGTTTATGTGATTGTTTATATATACATTATTTATATTGTACCTTTATTATTTTTACATATCACTCAAGGCAGTGAACATATCCAACACACCTTTTTCCTCCTACTTTTCCCATGACAGCCCTGTGAGGTGTGTTGGGCTGAGAGGGAATGACTGGTCCAAACTTTGTTTGTTAACAGCTTCTAATTTAACCTTCATTATTGGCCCAAATTTTGGGAGAAAAGATAAAGTGGGCTCATTCTTCAATGTATACACAAACAATAACATGGCATTGTAGAAAATTTTCTACCTAGAGCACTCCTGCTTGATGGGAGCTAATGCCTGCAGGTTCTCAACATTCATGCCACAGCAATTATCTTACTTTACGTTTCCCAGAAGTTGTCAGGTATTCTGCATAAAGGACCTCATATTTCTTTTTCAGCCTATCCTAGTTTGCCTAGCAGAATTTAGGATATGATGTGGGACTTTTATGAGTAGTAAGAATGGTAAGATAGGCCTTCCAGTTGTGATTACAACCCACAATGTTTTCTTGAAAAAAACTAAAAACTTCCCAATTTTGGAACAATTGTAAGGCAGATGTTGACACCCCTTAGGTACATTAAGTACTTTTTCCCAATAATGAGTATTGTAGTCCAAAAAGGCCTGAGACACAAAGTTAAAGACCGTGTAAATAGTTTATTATTATTATTTTTTTAGTACAGGTACTTTGTACAACAATATTTGTTTTAAAATGGGAATGGGCTGGAAAGAATGGAAGTTATATTCTGAGTAGCAGAGAAGGAACACTGGTACGTACTTACACTAAACACATGATTTTTGGAACCATTTGTGGGGGTATGAGAGAACAATACATTCTAACCGGAAAGCAAGCACACACTGTTACGGGCAGGCTGCTTCTGGATATTCAGCAGCTTGCTAGCGTTCAGTGGTCTAGCTGTACAGGATAGGAGAAAGTCAGTATATGAAGATAAAATGTGGGCAGGGAAGAGCACTGTGCACAGCCCCAGTATGATAGAGCATGTCATTGGCTTCACTAGCTCTTTCACTTTCAAACATGAGAACAAGAAACACAACAAAGATATGGTGAATTTGCATTGCTAACTTCAATGCAATGTGGCCAATTTAATTTATAGCAGCAGGCAAGCTGATCCCACTCGAATTTTGTGCATTTCAGAAACTACCACACACATAGCAAGAATATTTTTACATACACATGGCAGAACATGTTCTTCGAAACAATGGTTCCTCAGGATTCTCTAGGCAATAATTTCATAGCCAAAGAGAGAAGCTGTCTTTTTTTTCCTCACGTCAATATCATATCTGCTTAAGCAATTTGCATAATCAAATGCAAGAATGCCAGATTATTCACAATCCAAAACGTGATCTCCTATTGTCGATCCTGATTAAATAAAATTCTTAATCTGGGCTACCATCTCAGATTATTATTATTTCTTCCTTTCTATCATTATTTTGCCTGAACATACATTTTTATAACCCAAAGCTCTTGCTTTATTGAAATCTGTTGCAAAGTCATTCTGATCAAGCTTAATTTTGGTACCGTTTAAAAATTCTCTCTTCACAATACAAAAGTGTGTTTGTATGTGAGGAGGAGAAATACAGAGAGGACAATGTATCCCAACAGAATAATAAACCATTTTGGGGGAAACAAATCCCACAGGGATTAGATGGTTTTCCTCATTATATTTTCTTAAGAAAATAATAAAAAAAATGGATGTAATGAAAAAAAAACTTATGTCTTTTAACAGTAGTGTTTAACAATTTGAGGTAAAGACTAACAAAACATTTTACAGGCATTCATAGTGAGATTTTGACCTGTTACATAAAATTAATTTACAACAATACGGAACAAGAGCATTCACACTCTTATTCTTGCCCATTAAAAACAAAAGCATAGTTTTTAACCGTGTGTGCTGGCAATTTCACAGATACTAACCAGTACACGCCTCAAATAACCAGAGTAGATTCACAGAATTTAGTCCCAGATAGGAAATGTACCTTTTCTTGGTAGAAAGCACCATGACCTCAATTTGGCTCCAATACTCTTAAAATGATGTGGTTTCTGTGATCAAAAGCTAAATAAACTAGGACCTTGGAAATACAGACCAGTTTCCCCTTCCTCTAATTTTAATTCCACCCAGTTCCCTAAAACACATTGTTTTTTAGGTTGCATTACAGCCCAAGATAAGAGTGGGGAAGAGAGGTACCTCTTTAGTGTAATTTACAATATGGCGTCCAAAGTTAGGAAAGTTAGAAGCTAAGTAAATTCAATGCATCCTGCTTAAACAGGATGAAACAATGGCACCCAAAAGAGATGCATTCAAGCGAGTAGAGGTAGTTCTCCACTTACAACAGTTCATTTAGTGACCGTTCAAAGTAACAAGGGTAAGTCGAGGACTACCTATAACTCAAATTCTAGTGTCAATCCTGGGCGGAGAACAGAAGTAATAATCCCAATCCCAGTCCTAACAGAGCACCATGTTGATTTCCTTCTGTGTAGAAGAAAATCTAAAGAAAACCCCCACAAAAGTGCAAATTGAAGTATGCTGGTAGCTACCATGAGCACCAACTTCAGCCTGTCCAAAATAATCTGCTGGGGCAGCATAACAATCTGCTTTAAGATACTAGGTGTGTTAAACTACTTTATAAGTAGGTCCTCTTTCTCAGCAAAAGAATGTGAGGCCTACCACAAGATTCCTCATGATATTGTGTTCATATAAATACTTGGGGGAGGGATATACAGGGTAGGCCACGGAAGATACAGTAAGAGAAGAGATACCTGTGGATACTCATGACAGAAACAAAAATGCACCTCGAAGTGGTGTTTTGCTTCCTCCCGGTATATATGGCTGCCCCATTGGCCAAAGGACAGAGTGGGTTTGGCACCTTCACTGGGAAAAATAAATAAATAAAGGCCCGAAAAAAAGGCCACAAAAGGAAATACAAGGGAAAAAATGCACACAAGAACCACTGCATTAAGAACTGGCTTCATCCTTTAAATTTTGTTTGTAATACTTCTTGTTAAAGGAAATAGAAAATTTTAAAAGCAGCAAATGACTGGCTCACAAATAACTTGGCTTGGAAACTCACAACTATGTTCAGAATAGTTCCTACAAATACAACACCCCTCCCCCCAATTAGGCAGTTACTTTTGCTGGACAATACAGATAAAAAGCAAAGGTATTTGATTCTTGGTTACCAAGATTGGCTCGGTGCACTTTTCTTCTAATGGGCTTGCTATGTATTCTATGGATTGATGGTTTTTAATAGGCCTGTACTTTGAAAAAGAAAAAAATAAAATTCTTTGGAGATATTATAATTTATACCCAGCAGAGGAATGGGGTGGGCTGAGGGTTGTGGATAGCTTGATATAAATGGATTCTTTAAGAAGAACTAGACACTTGGTAAATCAAGCTCATTCCGCTAAAGTTGAGGCTATGTTTTTCAAGGCCTAATGTAATTCACTACATGACATTTGGTATCTAACCAAACTCAACCAAAAACAACACATTATGCAACTTGAACAGGTGAGTTTTCTGCACTTTGCTGTGATGAAATTAATTTCCCATCTCTTGTTCCTAATATTTATTTTATTAATTTTCTACAGGTTTCATTGCAAGTTATTCGATATAATATTTATCACATGGTTTTATGTTTATTATCCAGAGCTCCAAAAGGATACTATACTATTTCCTGGTATGGTATAATCTTCTTCTGTTGCATGGATCTCTGAGAAATTAGACCAAAACATTCCTAATATATCCTGTAGTTCCTGGTATTTACTAGCATTGAAGAAAAAGAAAGTTATCATTTTCTTCAAGTTTTTATACAGTAGACGCAGTAAAGAGTGGGAAGTCGGAGTTTGTGGCATCATTTAATGAGCTGTATTATAAGGCTCTACAGCTGTGATCTAAACACCGGAAAAAAACTGCACTACCATGAATAATTTGTATAGAATAGTAGCAGTCTTTACTTTCATCAAGGTTGTGCCATAATGAAGTTTAAAGGACAAATCAGCCAAATGAATCAAGTCTAAATTTAACAACAACAATTTTGAAAATTGTTATTTCAAGATAGAAAAAAAATTGGATATGGTTTGAACCATCTCCTTTTGTTTACTCCAGTGCAATTGCAAAATCCTAAAGTCAATGGATTTACTTTATATTTTAAAAAAATAACATGTTAAAGGTCTTCCTAACTTGTAATTTTGGAGGCAGTAAGCATTCAGATAGCACTACACAAAACAAATATCCACAACTGCTAGGTATTATGCACAACTGGCAAACAGTTTCACAAGCCATCCAACATTGCAAACATGTGCCCACTGCTAGCAGGGGGAAGGGGAGCTTCAGACCAATGCAAGCAGATCAAAACAACAATGCAAACTGAACTCATCCAGACCACGTATTATTCCGACTCTCTCTATGTGAGACTGAACAATGAAAGGATAAATTACAAAATTTTAGTATTACAGCATACTGTGGATGTATCGGTATGTGTGTAAAATGTATATATAAAATATGCAAGATTATGCCAAACTGGTGCCTTTCACTAGGCATAACTATATAAATACTTATCTGTACATGTGTGTGTATATGTGTGTGTGTGTTTATTTCTGTTCACTAGTTCAGGGGCCAGCCACATGGTAAGTGGCTAGGCAGTTGCAGGTTTGTTTCCCGTTTCACAAATGCTGGTTTACCCTCACTGATTCGGAGCTAAAAAAGCCCTTGGAAAATCCAAGCAGCTTCTCCCTTGCCAATCCCTTCCAAACCCATGCCAAGGAAGGGGTCATGGAGAACTCTTCCAAAAAGAGAGGCCTATGTGTCTGATACAGAACACGGTCGGTTATTAATAAAGTTGCAAGCTTTACAATTTTAGGTAAACTTAAAAGGCAGATTGGTTCACTACAGATGAGAAAGGAAAGAAAATTGAGCCGAGGATGAAGAAAACACATCCGTAGCAAGAAATGGCCTCCTTCCCTGAGAGGCGGAATATTTCATTCCCCAGTTCCAAAAACCTGTTAGTCGATGGCCATCCACAACCAGAGATCTTGCTTAACAACATCGCCTACCTTCTTGGCAGGGTCAAAGCCTCACATCTTCCACGTTCTGCACTTCCCCAGTCTTTTTCATAGACCTTCTGTGAAACCCTTTCCTTCTTCTAGTTGTCAGGAGATCTTTATTTTCAGCTGCAACATCATCAGTGGCAACAATACCTTTATTCAGATACCTTGCAATACTAAGTGTTTCAAAACCCGCACAACTTCTTAATTTAAATGGGAAGAAACAGTGCTGCATATCTTTCAAAGGCATTTTCTGTCCTGCCCTAACTTTTTTTGGGGTGGGGGTGGGGTAGAGTCTGGAATCTTACTTGCAGTGATGTCTGAGTGCTACACCAATCCCCAAAATCATGCTGTGGCATAGTAGCTTTAATACTCTTAAACATGGACTCTATTAAGGAAAGGGGACAAAATTAAACTACCCTCTTCAGTTCTATACTTCAAAAATGAAGAGGCGGTCCCAACTGCAGCATTATTTGTAGCCTCAAAAAACATGCAATGCTCCTAAGTAATACTCCACTGATGTTTCTCAACTACTGATGCCCACCCCACCCCCTTTTGTGAAAAACAAGCCTTTTTGCAGCAAACCGAGTATGAACTGAATTACAAATAGCGTTGTAATGACTGTAGTATTTCCAACTGAAATACGCATCACTTTACAGTTTTATTTAAACCATTCTTCATCAGAATCCCCGCATAAATTATGGGTTCTTTCTTTGCCAACTGTCATTAAGTGGGCCGTCAGCAATCCTTTCGCTGTTAGAAGCTAATTCTGTTAGGAAAACATGTTCTTTTCTCCTCTGCCTTGCCTTGCCCACAACCTCCCCCACAAACACACACACACTTCAAGAGGAGGCTTGTTTCTGCTAGGAATTGCTCCTTGGAGCAGAACTACATTTAATACAACCCAATACTCCCAATGCTTAATGGAACCGAGGAGCATTTGCACAGAATCATCAATAAATGCACAAGGGTTAAGTGGAACTTTCCTGCTGGTTCTCCCTTGCTATCCCTACCCTAATAACGTTTGGAGGCAAATGTAGTATTAGGAAATTGATTTTTACTTAATATGTAATTCAAATTTGAACCTTCAAGGGCCTTCATTTTTGTTATCTTGGCAGAATCAGCTATCTAGACATTCCATAGTATTCGTCTCTTGCCACACAGTAACTTTGTTGAATTCTCAGCTGCCTGATAGTTTAGCAATTAATACTGATCTCATGAATCAAGTAGCAGCTTACTAACATCTCTCCCCACCCCCCAAATTATATAAGTGTGTATGTGTGCACACATGTGCACGTGCACTGATGGACTGTCTTCCTATCCGAGCCAATTAGGCACCGAGCCAGAATGCTGCAAAAAACAGAGTTTGAAAATATGATATAAAAGTGGAGTTAGTAAAGCATATCCCTTTACGTAATTAAATAGAAAATGTTGTATGATTACGTACAGAAGCAGTTTTGGCTCCTCCATATAAAAGCCCTCAAAATCATTGAACTTTTCAAAGATCTGGATTAGTAATTGCACTCTAAAAATAAATAATAAACAGGAACAAAAATATTATCTCCCTCACCAAAACAAATAACCTCTTCAGAAGCTCATTTCTCCTTCCTGTCCTTTTCCAGGGTGGAAAATTACAAACAAGTATGCAGGCACTCCATTTTCTCCTCTGGATGCAGAGCAGCATGCTAGGAGACAAATATAAATAAAGGGAAGACCAACCCCTTTCCCTTCTCCAAGCACAGCAAGGAGACAGAGATGGAACACAGCTAGGCTGCATTTTAGGGAAACAGTGGATTGATTGCTTCTGCTGCCCCTTCACAGTCCTCATCTGTGCAAATCTTTGTGTAGAGAAGGAAAAAAAATGTGTGGAAAGCAGGACGTGGATGAGGCCAATACCTGGATTTGGATTTTAACTCCCAGTGGCAAAGCTGAAAAAAAGGCAGTGCTGATAACAATCCATACTGTTCATGTGGGGCACTCCATACTGCATCTGAGCCAGGACATGGACACTCACTGGGCCGAAGACTCAGTTACATCTGATCCCTGACTTCTCAGTATAACGTGGCCAATGGCTCAATTGACTGAGCTGGGACGGCAGCATCACTCCTCATTTGCCCAGGGCCTCTGCAAAGATGATCTCACCATTGGCCTCACCATTGGCAGAGGTAGGGTCATCTGGATCGCTATCTGTGGTGCCATCACTCTCCTTACCAGAGCTCTCAGCCCCATGCAGAAAGTGTGTGTTGTGAGGAGACAGTGGATACAAAACATCCTGCAGGGCACCCACTACCATAGGGCTGGTCAGCAATTCCTCATCTGAAGAATGTAGCGAGTCATCGTCCACTGCCAGATGACTCACGATATGTATACCATCAAAACCCATAGAGTCCTCAAAAGGCTTCTGTCCTTTCATTAGCCGAATCTGCAGGAGAGAGAAAGAAAAGACACTGGGGCAGCCACGATGGCTTGGCATTCAGCACTATGAAACCCGCTTAAGTGCTGGAATAGCTTGGATTTAGGAAAAAAATAATCTACAATGGACAAAAGAAAAATTCCTGCTTTGATGTAACAGAAGCTATGCCTTGGCTTAAGATTTACTAGAAGTGTGAGGTTGTATAGAGATATCCTCTTTTTCCTTGGACTGGCAAGACACTGCAAGCATAAAAGGGTAACAGTAGCAACCTACTTCATTTCTCTCTAGGTTATTTTACAAACCTAAAGAGATACACTCTTAAATCAGAACAGATGTTTAAATCCCATGACATGGGGCCTTTGAACTTTGTGTCTTCTAACATGACATTTTCAGCCACAAGTGAAAGAAGGGGTTTGTTTATGTGGGGTTTCTTTTTCAATAGAAAACTGATCTGTGCTTGACAAAGTCTGAGAATTCATAGTTGCATTGCTCATAGCGCCTGTATTTCGTGTAGAAACAATAGCTGTGACTTACTAAAGGATGATAACACAGTCTATCAGAAACTCCTCCATGGTTTTGTCTGCTTTCTCCCACTAGGTTGGGCTTACCTCTGCCTTGAGTTCATCAATCTGCTCCTTGAGTTCACGGATGTATTGCGAGGCATCAGAATTGTTGAGTTCACCTTGGATCATTCCTTCTTCTCTCTGCATGTGAAAAGAGAGGGATAAAAATGATAATTGCCAGGAGAAGAGGGCCAGGTGCTTCAGACCTTAGCCCAGCCCATATATTATTTCACAACCTGCATAAATAACTAAACCATTGTTGAAAGGATTTTAGAGAGCATCTAGTCCGCTGTTTTTCCTGCTTCCCAGTGCAGGATCCACTAGAGCAGGGGTATCAAACTGGCGGCCTGTGGGCCGGATGCGTCACACACAGGCCATGCCCACCCCAGCTCCGCAAAGGGAAAATACATCGCGAATCGTCAAGTGACGATTGGCAATGTGATGCTACGAGTTTGATACCTGTGTACTGGGGCAATATGGGAGATTACTTTTCAGCCAATGAGTTTGAAGAACTCAGGCAAAGGCAAACAACCATTGTGTGATAACTCTTCAGGTATCTGATATCTCTCAGTCTTTTCTGTAGTCTAAACATATTATTATCAGACCTTTCAACAGTTACACAGAGAAGTTAGTTCAGGAGATCATTCAGTAGCTTAGTGCAAGAACATTTGCTTTTTCTTTTCAGATGCAACTCGCTATTGGCCTTTGTTTCACTTGTGGCTGAAAAGGACACCCATTGGTTACTCTCCCCGAACCTGAATTTCCAGTTCAGCAACCCTCTGCCGCATCTCTGCAACAGCAGCCATGCTATCAGCTTCTCTCAGGCGAACAGCCATAACTTCTTCTTTGCTCTGTAAGAGAGAATACAAACCAATGGCAGAAGCCCATAAGATTGAAATCTGCATGACAGGTGGAGCAGAAAAAAAGTCTGAATTCCTAGAATTCCTCATGGCAGCTACAGATGCCATTTAAACCCATGCCGAGTCACTAAATTACCTGAAAGTCATGATTTGGGTCATTTTGACAGTAAGAAGGTTTGCACACTGTGGTGCACTAGTGCCGGGTAATTCCAACATCCCAAAGCTAAAAACAAGCTTAGTTTTACAACTCAGAAATCTGCTTGCAGCTCCTTACCTTTGAGAAGCAACTGAGCAAGCCTGACTCGTTTTCTGTGGGAAAGCCACATGCCTTGGTACTGTTGAATGGGCAAACTCACCTTGCACTCGGATTCAGCATGTTTGCGCTTGGTCTCACTCAACTGCGTCTGCAACCCTTTGTTTTGGGCGGTGAGATAATGCACCTTTTCGTGCAGCCCAGAACACTCCTGTTCCATCCGATTGAGAAGGTTGCTGTGAATCTGATCCTAGAAAAGGAGAATTAGGGGCCATTGATACTCTGACACCTATTGAGCCAGTTTGGTGGGTTAAGGTGCTGGCCTAGAAACTAGGAAACTGTGAGTTCTAGTTCCACCTTAGCCATGAAAGCTGGCTGGGCCAGTTACTCTCTCTCAGCCCAAACCCCCCCCCTCCCAAGGGTTACTGTTCTTGGGAAAATAGGAGGAGAAAGTAATATTTTGTATGTTTGCTGCCTTGAGTTACTTATAAAGCAATAAAGGCATGATAAAGCTCAAATAAATAACTACATTATTGAATTTGTTGCCCAATGTGTGTGCACACTCATATAGACATGCAGATAATTCCTTATGCATGAAAAACTTTGCACTTCCACATTCAATATAAAACTGCACGTTTTTAAAAAAAGGAAGGATTGCTATAACTATGAAATAGTTAGGAAAGAAAGAAATTACAGATAGAAAGATCTTATAAAGTCTAGCCATAACTGTCTAGACTCAGAAATACTCTTAATGGAGAGAACTACCACAATTGTCATACCCTCACCTGGGTTTCAAGCTCTACCACTCTTTGACGCAACTCCCGGACCTCACCCTGAGCCTGTGTCTCACGCAGGCGGAGAGTCATCAATTCATCTTGGAGATCATTTATTGTGTTCTTTCGTGGAGAGTCCTTCCACCGCCCTCCGGTCCTGCTCAGATGGGCCTAAAGTAAAGGCAGCCAAACAATTATCTGCAAATCTAGGCACAGGTATATGGGATCCAGGGGTTCCAAGGTACCAGTTTCCTCAACACATGCTTAATATCTGTTGGTCCACCATGTACAGCGACAAGCCATTTGCTTCCAAGATCTCAGAGAGACTTTTTCAATCCTATATGAAGAAATTGGGAACAATCTACAACATAAAAAATTATGTGCTATACAAGGTTCTCTCACCTGTAACCATAAACACATTTCTGCTTTATCAAATATTTAGGACCTTGTTCCTTAAAGTGATTTATGCATCAAATCAGATTTTATTAAACTCCTGGAGTTCCCAAATTTAGGCTACAAAACCCTGCTCACCAGTAGATGGTAGCAAGGAGATACAAGAATTTCTAGTCACGTATTGCCATCTAGTGGTTATCCAAACATTTGCAACCACAAAAGTACTTATTAACTGCTAAAGATCAAAGGACTTACAGGATCAGTCTTTGTAGCCTTCTATACAAAGATTTACATTAAAACCATGAACCTGGGCAACAAGGCCCAACAAGTGAGGTGTTGTCAGGTGTAGCATCCTTCAACTATAGTATACCTGCCAATTGTCATTGAGCTCCTTCACTTGCTGTTGCAGCTCTCTGAAGGATTTCATTGCCTCAGACTCCCGCAACTTCATAGCCTTCAGTTCTTCCTGTAGACGGGCCACATTGTTTTCATCTGGAAGCAAGCTGTTTTTCTGAAAAGGAGATGATTTAGTATTAACACTATATACCTCTTTAGGTATGCCACAGCACAGACAGAAGAACCTTTGGCCTGTTAGGTCTCCCTATGCAGCTCTTGGCACCTCAAGCAAGTCTGCCCCTCCTTCCTCATATTTCCTTGCAGCAGTGTCACTGCTTTGGGCCCAAAAACTGTCCAGTAGCATCAAATGGTTAAAGATGGTTCTAGGCATTCTACCAAAGGACCTGCGATGTCAGATCTGCACCCAGAGGTGGTCTTTGTTTGCCTTCCCAACACAAAATCTTGAGATGAATTTGACAGCCCTGTCCTAAAAGAACAGTGAGGAAGGAAAAAGCAGTCCTGGAACTTTCACTTGTTGGAACGAAAAAAATCTAAGCTTTTGTTGCAATCTTCACCAAAATTCATGATGCAGAAAAGACTCTATCAAAGCATCTATTCTTAAACTTCAGCTAATTCAAATCCTACTATCTGGGATCCTGCCGTGGTTACTTTCTAACACTTGTATGCTTCTGTATAGTCTTTGAAAGAAAAGATACCTTTTCCATGTCCAGAACTTTATCCTGCATTTCTTTAAGAGCACCCAGAGTCTCAGATTCCCTTAAGCGGGATTGCTCCAATTCTGTTTCTAGGTGGCTCACAAATTCCTCAGAGTAGCGGGGATTTCCCTACAGAGTAAAAGAAATGTTAGTAAATCAACGGAAACCATGAATGAATGAGTGCTGTCTCTAACGTTCCTATAGTTTTAATTGTAATCAACTAACTCTAATTTCTACAATCAGAAGCCAGAAACGCATAAGTTGGAAGGTAGGTAACTTATAAATACTCTGAATGGGTTATTTTAAAGGGATGCCAATACGGAGAGCAAAGGAAAGAGATGCTTAAGACTTTTCCTGAAAGCCGTTCTTCTAAACAAACTACCATATATCCTTGCCCTATTTTAGTTGCTCTATCTTTTTGACAGAAAAAAGCAGTGCAGGGAGGATGACTTTGACTGCAAACTAAATTATAGTCCATAGAAAAAGAGGATAAAATTACTCTGCTCTATTAAAAACCATGGACTCCTTGTGGATTACAGTTCAGTTGTTCCTTTTTTTCATTTCAGGAGACTTATGTATAGAATTCTCAAATTTGGCCTTCAGTCATAGGTTATAATTATTAGGAATAGCCAGGTGTAATTTTTTTTCTAGATGGGACTTCCTCAATTTGGTGCTCTCAGGATGTTTCATACGATAAGTAGTATTAGCAGCCAAGCTCTCTAATGGGCATAAAAGCTGGGGCTAGGAGTTTATTAAAGAGCCTGGTGGCGCAGTGGACTAACCTACTGTTAAAGTAGTATTTAGCTGTCAGCTGCCTGCAATTACTGCGAGTTCAATTCTCACCAGGCTCAAGGTTGACTCAGCCTTCCATCCTTCCGAGGTAGGTAAAATGAGGACCCGGTTTGTGGGGGAAATAAGCTGACTTTGTATAAAATAGAACACTGCTTAGGGGGAGCCAAAAGCCCTACTAAGCAGGTATATACAAAAGTATGAAGGCTATTGCTTAAAAGCATTGTAAGCCGCCCTGAGTCTCCGGAGAAGGGCGGCATATAAATCAAACTAATAAATAAATAAATAAATATTTTCGACACATTCAGATGCACCAGGTTAAAGGAAAGACTAAAGTAGGGTAGATATTCAAGCAAGACTTGGAGTAGATACAATCTTCCCTAAATCTAATACTGAGAAAAGAGCAAAAGAAAGCCCTGCATCAGTGGTGGTTTTCAAAATTTTGTACTTCCGGTACTGTGGGTGTGGCCTGATGGGCATGGCATGGCTTGGTGGACGTGGCAGGGGAAGGATACTGTAAAATCTCCATTCCCTTCCCACTCCAGGGGAAGGTTACTGCAAAATCCCCATTTCTTCCCTATCAGCTGGGACTAGGGAAGCAGAGAATAGATGGGGGCAGGGCCAGTCAGAGGTGGTATTTACCGGTTCTCCAAACTAATCAAAATTTCCGCTACCAGTTCTCCAGAACCTGCTGAAACCCACCTCTGCCCTGCACTGGTGTGACTGATCTCAAGAAAGAAACCTGAGAAAATCACCCCAGTAAAATATATAGTTTTGTATATAGCCTGTTCTAACAAATTGACATGGGAATGGTAATCTCTAGACTTGTCCGTTCCAGGCGTCCCCCACAAAACAAGTCACATGAATTTAAAAACCCTGTGGTTTAACCAACTGGGCACTTGTATGTAATTTCACCTCTATGTACCCCCCCCTCCATCATACATCATACATCCCCTTTCACTCTTGTATCTTCCACTCTTATAGTTACTTGTTGGTCCTGAAGTTGCTGAATGGTGCTTCGCGCCTTCTGCAAATTCTCTGTGGCAGAGCAGCATTGTTGCTTCACAACTGCCAGCTCCCGCTTGATAATGTAATTCTCTTCAGCCTCCTGTGCACGGGTAACTTGGCCCTAAAGAAGAGAAGACTCAAAGCTGTTTTTTTCTTTCAAGACAGTGACATTCATGTGGGGTTTCTTTATGAACAGCAAAACAAAGGAAGTATTTGTTTGATGATAGTAAGATGAATACAGTTAGATTTAAAATAAGACTTTCGCATCCTCACTAAACTTCAGCATTCTGAAGTGTCACTCTAGTATAATGCAAGAAGACATTTCCACTGCTCATACACCTTAAAATAGTTTTACTATTATAATATATATAATACTATTATATTATATAATAAGTTTGACTCAAGACTTTTCAGAATGAGTAATGAGTTATATTCAAAATCAGAACCATATCATAAAGCAGGTAAGAGTGATTATTGCTGATATGTGCTCAAAGGATTTCAAAGTCAAAATATCTGAGTTCAAAACACCCTGCTTGGGCTTGGAAAAAAATTGTCCCAAAGCTGTTCTGACTAATCTGAAAGCGGCCCAAGCTCAAAATGATTAATATTATCCATTTGAAAGTATCCTAAGCCTTCACTCTTAAGGCAAAACAATGCCTTAAAAAGGGAGACTAACTTTTCAATCCTCTGAAGAAGTTTCACTGTGAAAAGTGAAGGGTGAGAAGATTATATAGAGGGCATTTGGACTGCTCTCCTGCCTGACCCATTCTCTTCTATGATAACTGGAAGCCCATATCGTCCATCTTTAGCTTGATTTCTGCACCATCCCTAGCATCCCCAAATTTGCAAATTCCCAATAAGTACAACTCCCAGCCCACAAGCTCAACGAGAATTTAGTCTTTAGTTGAAATTTAAGATTCTACCACAGGTTATTTTTCAGCCACAAAATCTGTTAGTTTAAAAAAACCTGATTCCTTTGATCAAGAGGCAAAGTTTTAGAGATTAGAAAACTGGCAGTGAGCCAAAGCATGCATTTGTAATAATTAGTTTATTCATGCATTAAAGTCATTTGACATTTTGTCCTTGCTCTCACAAAACTTCATCAAGTTTCCATTGGACCCTAGTGGTCAGGGAACCCAGCTTGAAAAACCTTGCTCTAGCTTTGGAGAAACAGAGATTGTTTGCATGACAAGGATTAAAGAACAAAACAAGGACAAATAATCAAGATCTGAAGAGACTCCCACATTAATTTGAAATATTAAGTAGCTTGTATCAGTTTAAAACAGTAATTCATACTAGTATGCTTCAAATTCTTATAAATTCATGTAGATACTAGTGTTCTTCAAATACTAATATATTTTCTAAAGCACAGGAAATCTGTTGCACTTTTGTTGTTGTACTCAAATTCCTATTGCTCCAGCAAGCATGGCTAATTGTGAATCAGAGGCTACCATTCAGGATTTCTCTTTTTTAAGTCAAGTATGAAAATATTATTCAAGATATTCTTCTTTACAAAGAGCCTTTTAAATAGAACTTATTCTCAGACATGTTGTCTGGATTACAAAAGTAATCTGCAAAAAGCCAAATAGATTCAGTAGCACAGCAGAAAACCAATTATGTTTGGGTTGGTTATTCTAATAATAAGGCAGCCATCCCCAGTCAAATTGCTGGCAGAAGAATTCTGGGATTTGTGACTGATCTGGAGGGCATTCAGACTAAGGAAAGCTGTGTTAGAGCAATACTCAGCTTTAAGACTAATACTCCTGCCATCCTCCCATCGTCTGGTGCACTCACACAGAGCGGGCCTCCTCAGGGTGCCGTCAGCCAGACAGTGTAGGCTGGCGGCTCCCAGGGGGAGAGCGTTCTCTGTGGGAGCGCTAACCCTCTGGAATGGGCTGCCCATCGGCCTCAGGACAGCCCCTGACCTCCTCTCCTTCTGCCGCGAATTGAAGACGTGGTTTTTTTCATCAAATGGGCTGAATCCATAGGGGTGATTTTTAATAATTTTAATTAAAATTTTAATTTATTTTAACAAATTTTAAATTGACTTTGTTGTTATGTAATTTTTTTTCCTTCTTGTAAGCCACCCTGAGTCCTTTGGGAGAAGGGTGGCATATACATTACATAAATAAATAAAATAAACAAATAAATACTCTGCTCCTAGTAACTCAGTCTTCATGTGCAGATGTATTTCTGCAAGAAAAAAAATCAATGCAATAGATTTATAGAGATGTTAACACATCCTAGGCTTTATTTATAGTTGGAAGTGATGGCACCAAGCTCTCTAATCTCTGCCTTTCAAAGAAATGAAATCAAAGGAAAAATCACACATCACAAACATTTCAGAGAAACATGGCAAAATTGTTAAGGACTTTGCTAAGTGAAATGTCTAAAGAGATAGTTAAATTGTGCCACTTGATGGATTGATGAATAAAAAGGAGGTTACTTTTGAAAAAAAATGACTGTAGTGAATGCATGAAAGATCTGGGTCTCCTAGAAGCATATCTTATTCCTTATTCAAATGCACTGGATATTAAATTTTTATATGCAGATCTTTAAATGTATTACACTGTTATTTTTCTAATGAGCTGAAAACAAAAATTTAGGCTTATAGCCATAATACTTGAGAATATTTCAGCCTAATGTAATTCACCCAAGGCACCCAGTGACTTGGTAATATAACTTGTAATGATCATAGTTCACTTCTATACCAAAATTAAAAGAAAATTTTAAAGTAGATCAGTTTTAGTAGAGTAAATAATGGTAATTTGCCAACAGCACCGTCGTTTCAACATTGGAAGGCATTTTGTACAAGCTTTACCAAATACTTTTCTAAACCTAAATATGTGACCTGCCACATCACATCAAGAGAAACACGGGTAGATATCGGGGGGAGGGGGGAGGCATATTTTTATCATCAAAATATGACTGAAATAATGCATTATTTGGATATTTTAAAAGCTTGTAGCCTTGTTTCCAATACCATTTTTGAGATATGTCAGCAAAATATGTTCTTCATATATAGCAGAAAGGCAAAATTGCTTACGTCTTGATTGATGATTAACTCTCACTGCACTACTATCATCAGGAACATTAGTCTTAAAAAGCAACAGGCTTATTTCAGGCTTGGTCCTGGGCAGATGGCCTAACTACAGCAAACTTCAATGTAGGGATGGCATTCTTTCATCACATTAAAACCAACAATTTACTGTGCATTAACTCACAGCAGTTGCCACGTGCAGTGATTCCTCCTTCTTTTTCAGAACTAGCCTTCAACCAAAAAGCTCCTCTCCAGAATCAAACATTCCAGAAGATTTCCATTGCAAAATAAAACAAAATAAGTTTGTGTAGGTATTTGCATGAATTGTTAGAAAGACCTATTTTCACATCCCATTATCCTTCCATCACCCATATCATTTATTCAAAATCAAAGGTGGCTTGGTTGTGGCTCCTAAAAATAACTGCCCAGCTAAGAATCAATTCTACTATAAGTTAAGAAGATCCTCATTTTAACTGATATTTAGCTGAAGGAAAACCAGGAGTTTATGTTCCCTCCAGCTTATACCTCTTAATATATTTAATTTTATAATAGAAGATTGAACAAGGTATCAAGAAATGAAAACCATTTTTGTTACTATTGACGTTAAGCATAGAAACAATGGTAAAAAGAGAATTGGGAATTTAAATTATTGTTCCTCCAAAGAACACTCAGTGAAGCGTAACAAAAATGTTGTGGATGGAGGTCTCTTTTTGTTATAACTGTACTATTTCCCATCTGAGGAATGGAGAAATGGATTTTTCAGTGGATTAATTCACCACATTTGAAGTAATAAACAGTGTTATTTAAAAAGGACATCTGCCCCACACCTGAGTAGGAATATTCTGTACACTGGATAAAATTAATGAACTGCATCATGCTAGATTCATTTTTAATCAGTTTTGATCTCAAACTATACGGATTTAACAACAGATTCTTTAGATCTCTCTTAATCCCTTATTAACAGATTAACAGAGTTGGAAGGGACCTTGCAGACCTTCTAGTCCAACCCCACTGCCCAAAGAGGAGACCCTACACCATTTCTGACAAATGGCACTCCAGTCTCTTCTTGAAAGCTTCCAGTGATGAAGCTCCCACAACTTCTGAAGGCAAGCTTGCCTTCAGAGCCTTGGTAGTACAGTGGTCTAAGGCACCCTGTTATTAAGCTGGTTATTAAGACCAGCTGCCTGCAATTACTGCAGGTTCGAATCTTGCCAAGGCTCAAGGTTGACTCAGCCTTCCATCCTTTCTAAGGTAGGTGAAATGAGGACCCAGTTTGTGGGGGCAATAAGCTGACTTTGTATAAATATACAAAAGGATGAAGGCTATTGCTGAGCACATTGTAAGCCGCCCTGAGTCTCCGGAGAAGGGCGGCATATAAATCAAATAAAAAAAAAAGCTGTTCCATTGGTTGATTGTTCTCACTGTCAAGGAGAAAGCAAATTTCTCCTTATTTCTAGGTTGAATCTCTCCTTGATCAGTTTCCATCCATTATTCCTTGTCTGGCCTTCAGGTGCTTTGGAGAATAGCTTGAGCCCTTCCTCTCTGTGGCAGCCCCTCAAATATTGGAACACTGCTATCATGTATCCCCTAGTCCTTCTCTTCACTAGACTAGCCATGCTGAGTACTTGCAACCATTCATTGTATGCTTTAGCCTCCAGTTGAATCATGGCAGTCTGCAATTGCCTGTGGTTCTATAACATCTTATCACATATGCACCAACATGCAACTGTTGTTCTTTGTAGTCAGTAGTGTGTGTGTGTGTGTGTGTGTGTGTGTGTGTGTGTGTGTGTGTGTTTCTGCTAGGGTAGCAGAGGGAAGAGAAAGGTGGAGCCTTAAAAACAAAAGGAACATTGGAAAAAAGGGAAAGGAGGTGGGAGGTGTAAGGTCTGGCAGAAACAAGATGGATCTATACAGTATTGGCTACTGAAGGACTGTTGTTAGTTCAAAGAAAGGTTGGGCTAAGATTCTTAGAAGTGGAGCAGGGTGTAACCTGAAGAATAGGAGGAATCTTTGTGGGACAATTCTAAAAATGGTGTGCGGGAAACTGAGGAAGATGTGGAAGGGGATACCCTACCAGAAGT